AAACAAGGTAGTGGGAAGCTTGAAAAGGTAACAAAGAAAATTACTTAGCCTAAAGGAGGGCGGGGGAGCTTAGATCAGATAGCATAAAATGTGAGAATACAGGCACATACTGACTAAATGGCTTGGCCAAATACTGACTCAATGAGTTCCTGATTATTTATTGACAAGCTTGACAGAACAAAATGAACCTATTGTAGCTCACTGTGGGCAGGGCTGGATTGGGAAAAAGGGCTGGTATTGGAGCAGCATGGAGTAGGCAGGTGGAAAGATTGTAAGCTCCCAGTACCCTAGGCAATGACAGGAAAGGAGGAGGGAGAAGCGGCTGGGGGCAGGGCATAAAATGGGATGTGAACATGTGCTCAGTTGAACTGGAAAATGGGAAAGAAACCATTTTTCTCTGTTCCCTTCATTGCAATAAAGTTTTAAAAAGAACTCTCTGCATGCTTGGGATATTTTTCTCTTCCAAAGGAAAGGAACAAGTGTTTCTAACACAGAGCAGATAAAGGAAGATCAACCAATCATACAAGTAACAATAAGATTACACTATTTCTAATGGCAGTGTATTGACATTTCAGTAGAGTAACTTCCAGAAACTTGAACCCATTTCCGGGTCTGCTTAGACATGTAAATTTAGGCTATTGAGAAATCTTCCCTGAAATCATAAATCCCTGTATTACATTCAGGAAGTCTGGGACCCCAAGTAAAGTATGGCAAAATAGATACTTTCTGGCAAATTGTAATTTCCAAAAGAGATTATTTAGCTACATTGTGAATGTATATAATGTATTTTTGACTGAATGGCCTGTCTGCTCAGGCAGAAAGGAGGGAGGAGGAATGCCATTTTGAACAGTGACTTAGCTTGGAAAGCTGGTGCTTTTAAGGAGTACAGGATTGATTTTATAACACAGAAGCAACATTTTCTGCCAGGATTTTTCCAAATTTTCCCAACATTATGCATCTCAGAGGGACTATGAAAAGGCAGCTGCAGGGAGGCTTCATAGCTTCACCAAAGAGCAAGAAGGGCCAGGAGTTATTCAGAGGACCCCTTGCTTCATTCTGCCCTGTAGTCTAGACTAAGAGAGAGCCCTCAACTCAAAAGCCAGGAGAATCTGAGGTAAAAGTACCTGTTGTAGAAAAGCCTTCCACTCGCTGCTGGGCTGCAGAACAGCTGCCGGGTGGGGCAGAAATTCCAAGGCAATTTTTTCTTAAATTTCCAACTATGCCAAATAACGGAGAACAACTCAGCCATTTGGAGTTGCACCACAGATAACCTAGACCAGGGGTCAGCAACCTTTAACACTCAGAGAGCCATTTGAACCCGTTTCCCACAGAAAACACCAGGAGCCGCAAACCCCTTTTGACATCTAAACTGAAGATAACACTGCATATATCATTTTTTACTTTTATGCAATGTATAAAAAAAACTATAGTGTATTGCATTTAAGAAATCAATGAACTGCTACAGAGAAAACAAATTTTTATTTCTGCATGCAACAAAAACTTTTTGAACTCTGAAAAAAAAAAGATGCTGGGTTGAAGGTTACTTTTAAATAAAATACTCAATGTCTATTTGAGTCCTCCTCGTATTTATGAAATAAAAAGCCAAACTTAAATTATCCACCTGCAGCAAACCAAAACTACCATCTGCTTTTGTGTGCCCTCATCCTTTTATCATGTGTACTGGAGGGTGCAGTCAGCTGTCAACCTGAATAAAAAAAGGACTAACTGATACTTTCTACAGTAAGTAGAGTTTCTGCAATACAACAAATATAAATAATAGTCTGGTGAAATATTGAACAATCCTCTCCCAAAGTAATACTGTTGCTGGAATTTTTATAAGAATCTTCTTAAAACAAGGAAGTAGATCTATATCTTCATTATGATTTAGCTGCAGCTCTTGTTCAGTCACTAAAAACTGTTATTTTTAATCTTATATTATAAACTAGTAGGACTCCTTTCATATATTTTGAATAGGAGAACAGCTTCCTGCAGTCAAGCGAAAGGGCTGCAGCAAACCCCGTAAGTTCATCAGCAGTAAAAGCAAATGAATCTACCCATGTTAAAACATTCGGTTTTCTTCAGAAACTTTTCTTCGATTTATCCAGGGTTGGACTACTGGGAGAAAAAGCTCAGCAAATTTGCATGGGTCACAGATTGGCGACTGTGCCGGTGTGGGTCACAGATGGGTGGCCGTGTCAGTGCAGATTGCAGATCGGTGGCTGTGATGCATATTTTGGACGGAGCCACAGCAGAGGAATTCAAGAGCCACGTGCGGCTCCAGAGCCATGGGTTGCTGACCCCCGACCTAGACCATGGGTTCTCAAACTACGGCCCGCAGGACAGATCTGGCCCACCATGCCCATTTATCTGGCCTGCACCACCCACACGTGTGGGGAGGCAGTGGCTTGCTCACTCGGAGATGGTTTTGGACTTGTTGAGAGATCTCCGAGCGAGTGCCGCCCGCCTCCCCCATGCGCTCGCCTCGCAGCACGGGCGGGGAGGCAGTGGCTTGCTCGCTTGGAGATGGTTTTGGACTCACTGGGAGATCTGAGTGAGCCATCCCGCGTGCGGCCGATGCCAGCCCGCTGGCCCACACGCCCAGGCACCCCTGCCCCATCGGCCTGCACAGGTCACTGCTGCCTTTCAACTCGTCCCCTGTTGAAAAAGTTTGAGGACCCCTGACCTAGATAGCTGTGAAATTCTTCTGTTCATAGGCAAGAGTGCAGAACCAGGGACTGCTAAGCTAAGCCCAGGGTTGGCATGCAAAGGTCACAGAATGAACAGCCCTGTCTGTGTCCAGCGCATACTTGCACACAGGGCAAGCTCAGAAACAAGAGCTGCCAAATTCATCCACTCGTTTAACAACGGGGGCCCAGTCATGTGAATAGACATAAAGTGCAGCCTTTTAAATAAATCCACCAAACTTTGCTACTTCTCAACAAAACATACCAGCTCTCCTGGCTACCAATATAGTAATCATTTTTTTGCACTCTGCGGGTCAGGAGGTGGAAATGCTCCCTCAATTTACAAAAACGCCTCTTTTCCTGATTGCCCAAGGATGATTTGCCTGCAAAATGTATTTTTCAGCAGTATTTCTTACTGGATAGATGAAAATTATTTATTTGACCACAGATACACAAAGTGCAGGATGTTTAATACAATTCTCCAAAATTACCACAAACAGTGACAAAATTATTAATTTTAGGCATTAGGCAATAAAAACAGAATTTAATGAGCAAAACAAAGTAAAGCTGAACATATTCAGAACTTCATTCTTTAATTACATTTGCAATTCATTTACTTGAACAGACATTACTTCTGTTAAGAACATATACTTAATAAGTTCCAATGGTTATGTAATAAAACAATGCAACTAAGAGAAGTAGGATGTACAGTATAGTAGCCAAAGAAGAAATGAAGATGTCAAACACAATCTGAAAGTTTTGCTCTTTCTTCAAATTGTTTGTCCACCACAAGTGACAGGGCTTGAAGGAAAGATGCCATTGTAATGCTGGGGGTCTACAAACAAAGGTAAAAAGCAGAATAAGTACACATAGATACAAGGTATAAATGATAGGTATGAAAAAGAGTCTGTCCAAGATCAGAGATAACAGAGGGAGTATGTGGGCAGGCAGCAGGATAGTGCTAGGATGTGCGGCTGCTCTTCCAACCTGGCCATGTGGCACACACAGGCCTCAATGGGTGTGAGGTACACCATGCAAACCCAGGGATTCAGCCAACAAAGGCAAAAGTTGCTGGTCCTCCCAGTTTCAGCTCGGTGGCACTCTCAGCACAGAAAAAGGCAAAACAGCCCATGTGGGCTGATGTTAGAAGCTGTGCCCACACCCACTGATGTCATCCAGCCCAGAAAGGCAGTTTGCTCTTCCCTCAGTACTGTTCTACACAGCTGCACTGACTGAACATCTCTCCCAACCACAGTCCAACTGTACATTATGATCAACATCTGGAGCCTTCCTCTGACATGTACCCCAAAGGGAGGCTTAGACAGCAGGATGAGCCTTCTCAGTGGCAGCTCCCGCAATTGTGGAAAGATCTTCCCATTGAGGCCTGCCTAGCAGCAAACTGGCCATCCTTTCAGCACCAGATTAAGAGAGCCCTCTGCATTGAGGCATTTAAAAATACCTGGAATATTGTCTATGGGCTAAATGTGAATATTAATTTTCAATCATCTGTTTTCAACAGCTCTATTTTGTATTAAATATTGTTTAGCTGCTAAGTTGTTAAAATTGTAAACTGTTTTTAAACATTGCATCATGCAATTTTGTTAAGATTTTATTCTATTAGGAACTTTTGCTTACTGCTCAGGGAGCTCTGGTGAATGGGCAGCACAGAAATTAAATAAGCAAATGTACAAATTCCATTAAAATAGCAAGGCTGTATGCATGATATTTATATTAATGAACAGTGACTCAGACTTGGTCATATGCAGAAACCTGAACTAGATTTACGAATGTTGCATATGTGAGTGCTCCCTTCCTACTAGTGCTTTAGTTAACCCCACAATTACACATAGTAATTGACAACAGTAATTGACCTCATTGACAAGAGTGGAAAAGACCCTTTGAGAGTCTGCTGGGGTCTTGCTTCAACAAGAAGAGCTCAAAAACCAGGCAAAGTGATGCCCAGTGAGAGGGAAGGAGGCCCCACAACCTCAAGTCCAAAGCAAAGAAGGCTGAGTGTAGTATAGACAATGTAATATTGAAGACCTGCTCCAAAGGCAAGCCAAATAATATATGAAGCAGACAATTGCCCCACCTATTCTGCATCCTATTTTACCATCCAGTCTTACTTTGACCAGAAGAGATAATTAGCTCAGGCATAATATCCATCATTATAAGAGCCTCAACCCAAACGGGGATGAAATTCTCAGAGACAGAGCTGGTCAAAGGAAGTCTAGGGAATAAGAAACTAGGCCTAAGAAAGACTAGGAACATAGAGGGAAATGGGAAAAGAAGAGTGCAACATAGAAGAGAAAAAGTTAACCCATTGGGTAAAACCAGAGAATTGGCTTGAGCCAAAACTGGATTCTTCTCTCAGTTTGGTTCATGTGCACAGCCATGAGTTTGTTGTTTCTTTTAAACCTCCACTACCTGGTTATATTTTCTGGATGAGCAAGTTATTTCCAGAGTTGTATTACTACGGCACAGTAGTTACAAAAGGACGTGGGGAAGAGATTGTCAGGACAAAATGAGTGAAAGCTCTATCATAATATGGCTGCTAAAAGCCTGACACCATAAGAACAGTTTTTGACTTCAGACAGGATTCCTGATCAGATCAGGAATCCATGGCAGAAGTCTTGCTTCCCATGTATGCCCCAGAAATGCTAATACACTTGTCCTGAAAAGTCTTTCTTTGGCCTGAAGGGTGGGGGCATGCCCTGGACATGCTGTTTGTCTTTCCTGAAGATACTTTTTGTCAATCCCTTTTGTTTTACGCTAGTGTGCCTCTAGCATACTGTATACATGATCTCCCACCATATCCCCCACCCCTCCTCCAAACGGTATGTAACTGATAGGTTATAAAAGCATCTTGTACAAACTCCATCTTTGTAGTCCCTTCAGGGGTTACCTACTTGCCACATGTATTGCTTGGATGTGTGAATAAACTGTAAATGTTCTTCTGATTGTACACACCCAGCAGACTCTCAAAGGGTTTACTTTTTCACTCTTGTCACTATAAATTCACCTGTCTCCCCACAACAGCAAAGACAAATGATTCACAAAATGCCATGTACTTACTTGAATGTAAAGTGCATGGGCCAGAAAAGGAAGTTTTCTTAAGACACGGCCACTAAGTCCTTCACTTTTCCTATTTTAAAGCAATAATACATAAAGCATTAAGGTTGACTTTCACAAATAATGAACTTTTAAGGAAAATTGTGTTAGTGTACATTACTGAACATTTCTACAACATATTTCTGAAACAGCCATTTACTGAATTGTGGTGGTCAAAATGCTTTGAGCTGGTTCTAACACACACCAAATACACCTGCATTACTATGGATTACAGGTGAACTCCCATGATGAAAGTGATATGTTCCTGCCTGCTGAAAATTGTCAGGCAAAGAGTTCTAAGCATTGACAACAAATAAGATTCCTTCTTCCATGTGCTATTTGCATTCTTTTTACATGTGTGTATTTGTATATTCTTCATAACAACTAATTTACAACTCCCCTTTTTCTTTGCAGTTGCTATTTTTCCTACTTAAGTTTGTGGCAACTTAATTTGTTGAGGAGAAGCATTTGTCACCTGAAAAGCAACTGTACATGCTCACTATGAAAACAGTGTACTTGAGAGTTCCCCCATAATGTTCCCCAATCACAATGCATGAGTTTCATATTCCCTTAAAATAGGGCTTCTCAAAAAGTGGCATGCACACTGCTGGTGGATGCAAAAGTAGTCTAGATGGGATTCAGGGTCTTCATAAATATCCCTAAAAATTTGCCCTCTATTTCAATCCTAATATACACCTTAAGGAGGAATGTGCTGTCTCCTTCCAACCCCACCTGCCATGCATTATCCATCTGTGACCCTTTGGCACACTAGCAGTATTTTGACTACTGATGGTTATATTTGCTTACACTTTAAAGCCATAGCAATAAAAAAATCAATTGCAACACTAGTGCTGCAATTTGTAATGTCATTAAAACTCAGCACAAATGAGAAGTATAATAACAAGATGTCTATCAACATATATTCTTCCCAGAAAAAGTGGGCTTTTTATTTCAATCATGGTGAAACGCTGGCTCTTTGACAGGGGATATAAGCTATGAAAGGTTGAGAAGTACTTAGAAAATGATTAATGTTGCATGTGGTTAATCATTTATATGTAGGTTTGGGTTCTGAAAGAAGATAATGCATTTCCTCCTGGTTTCTTCCTGGTCACCTGAAGGCAAATCCAATTTGCCAGAATTGAACAGAATGGATATTTACAAGGCCCTACACAGAAACCAGAAGTATATTTAGAACATGAATAATCAGATCCGATAGGATGAAAAGAATGGATTGTAGATAGCAGAGGTGAGTAAACAAGCATTCCCTTTTCAATGCTCAAATAAATTACAATAGTTATTCTCTAGCTAGAACGCATAACGACTGCTCTACTAAAATACTATTTATTTATTATTTCCTAGAGTTTCTGGATATACAGTGCTGCCATGCATAGCTCCACTGAAGACACAGAAGAACAGAGTTTGCCACTTGGTCTGAATTCTGAAAACACATGCATCTGATTTCATAAGTGAGCATCTATGTATTTGAACAATCATGGCCTCTGTTTGTGGTTCATAACTTTTGTTTGTGGGGGAGCATTTTTGAGTACAGGCCAAGGTGGAAGTGCTGCAAATAATCAAACAACTGATATGAAGAGACAGATAGATGAAATCCTGAAATGTTACCTTGAAATTTCTTTTAATATGAGGCTCAATTTTGACACGTCGTTTTCTAAATAACCAATCATCTCTAGCTCACGGAGTGTCAGTAGCTGCTGACGAGGATATATTATTTGGCACTTCAGGAAGAAAAAGTTTTATTCATAAGAAATGTATCAAGTTCAACCTGCACAGCTATATAGAAGTCATGGAACTGGAAGGGACTTTGGAGGTCAGCCAGTCCAATCCCTGCACTGTAACTGTAGCATCCCTGACAGATGATCAGACAGCTTCTGACAACTCTGACAAACAAAACCTCTGCTCCCTTTTGTGCCTGGAAGCCCATCACTTATACCCCACACTTTCATAAGCATCAGTTTCCAGACCCTGGCCCCACCACTACCATCCTAGTTGCCCTCAAAGCATTCTCCAGTTTGTCAATAAGCTTCTTAAAATGTGATGCCCAGAACTTAATACTGCTCTCCAGATGCAGCCTGGCAAACAGAGCAGAACTATTGTCCCCATGACTGAGCTTCTGCTACACCAGCCCATTAATACCTTTAAGCAGCTGCATCATACCACTGGCTCAAATTCAGCTTGCAATCCACTAAGACGTCCAGATCATTTCCAAATGCACTGTTGCCAAATGTAGTAGTAGTTTCTCCCATCCTATACTTGTGTCTTTGATTTGTATACATAAGCATATCTATTCTTTATAATGATTTCCCCTTCCATTCTTTTGGTTCTTTTTCTTCTGAACAGTGTATACCTATCAAGTTCTGCAGTCCAATCATGGATCCCATATTTAAATTGCAGTGATAACCTGCTTTCCCATACTTTAAGTTCATGGGCCATGGATGTTGCAACTTCACAGTCCCCCTGCTATATTTACTTGCATATTACTGTATTTACCTGTACCATCTGCATTGTCCTGCTTCCACCCTTGTCACACAAATTCTTGTCCATAATGTTTTGGCTCAAGACATGCCTCTGGACTAAATCCCACAGGATTTAGTTCAAAGCATTCTTAATCAGGCATGTGAGGCTCCTGCCAAACACATTCCTCCAAGTCCTCCTGGCAGCAGTGGTAGTGGAAGCTATGATCCAACAACACCATCTGTTGATGGTGATCCAGCTGTTCACTTACAGTATGCTGCTTTTTCAGCCAACTCTTTGTCCTTCAATGGGAAGCAGTTATGAGACCATCACCTGCACCCCCAAGCCCCTTCCTTTCCTACCCATTTGTGCTCCATGTCCTTTGCATCCTTCTTTCTTCTTAGAAAGATCCTCCTCTGGAGATCTTTGAGGGGTGCATCTTGCCTCTCATCTAAAATATCTTTCAGTCTTCCTGATAAGAGGGACTACAGTGCTTGTTTTAACATCTGAAGTCCTAAACAGCTTGGGACCTGGCTATCCAAAGGACCACTTCCTCCCATATATGCCTACCTGACCATTAAGATCTGGCCAAGATACCCTTCTGAATGTGCCATCCCTCAAGGAAGTGAGAGGGGTGGTAAATAGAAGGTCTTTTGGTGGCTGCCCCCACCTATGGAATAGGCTCCCCAGAAAAGTTTGCCTAGTGCCAACTCTGTTCTTATAGCAGTGCCAGGTGAAAACATATCTCCCCCCAACCATATTAATAACTGATTTTAATAATGTGGGTTTTTTTAGATGTTTAAATGTTAATGTATTTTTGTATTTGGCTGTCTGTCTTGCCTGAACCTGTTTCTTGAAATTGATCTGGCCTATGTTGGTATGTTAGTATTATTAAGCAGTTATTTTTAATGAAAGTTGTAATTGATTGGTTGTATATCACCTAGGGAGCTCATTTGACCTATATTTGCAGAACATGTAGTTAATGTTATCTTCAGCCAGGAAGAGAAATGTGGCAGACAGATGGCAGGTCAGCTCCAGCTTCTTTGCTGTCAACACTGCCAAAATCTCAATTCAAGATTCCTGAAAGAGGTGGATCTGCCTGCACTGACACATGCTACCCCCACCTGCTTGATAGATTTCTGCAATGGGTTCTACACAGGACTAGACCTGAAAATTGTTTGGAGATCTGGTATGTCACTTTCAGACATATTACATGGATCCTGCATCAATTACAGGATGCAATGTAATAATAGTTACAGTGGTTTCTAATTTGTTTATGGGCCCAAATTGATCTGCTGGTGCTTACCTATAAAACCTAAAGTCAGGATATCTGACTTTTCCCATATGAACCTGTCCATTGGTTGTAATCATTGTCTGGGGCTCTGTTGTATTTTAAACCAGCGAAAAGGTTTGGTTGAGAGGAATGAGGCTCAGGCAAAATGCATCCAAAAACTGTCCCAGCAGGAACAAGGAAGAACTCTGTGTGTGCCTCCTTGTACCAGATATGCCTTTAAAGATTCAATGCAACAGGGATCATGAAAATATCAGAGTTCAGACTCCTGCAGTGTTTACCTTCATTAGTTCTTCCAAGCAAGAAAGGTAGATTTTGAATACTGCTGCAACAGAAGGAGGCCCAATGTATTGCTTGATATCTGCTCTATCTACAAAGGCCACGTCAATTTTCTCTGTGATATTTGATGTAGTTAAGATAACCACATTAGGGTACCTTTAAAAACATAACAGGATTATACATAAAACACCAGGATAATACGTATTTCACCATTAGGATGACTTTTTGTCCCCTCTAATTGTTCCTAGCCAATTGGCACCCTTTAACAAGACATAATAGTGATAATTGTTTACCTTTTGATCTGATCAATTTGTGTCAAGACAGCATTTACAACACGGATTGCATCAGAAGGCTCAGTGCCTGCCCGAAAAGCACTACGAGCTGCTGTGAGACTTTCCACCTGCAAATGAAAGAGAAAAAAGGATTGGCCTTCTCACACTGCTTATCTTTAGGCACTGTAACTGCAATACTTAAGAGTTCTAATTGCCCTGTTAAATAATTTGTCATTTATAATCTTTCTCGCCACAAACAGGTAACATCTGGAAAAAGGAAACATACTTTTAAAAAATAAAGTAATATGACTATCCTCTTGCCAACCACAAATGTTCCTTCTGTTTAGTATCATTGCAGGCAATTGTGAACACTCTATTTCCAGAAACAGTCCACGAATATCTTATAGTACAGCCAGTCATAAATGATGCTGCATTCATACCTCATCAATCAGCACAAATACAAGGGCATCTCTGTCATCAATTAACTCTTGAATCTTCTGGAACATTTTTGTAACAAGTTTGCCACTCTAGAAGAAAAAAAGGATTCATATAAATCGATAAGATTCCTTTTTTCTTTCTCACATGATTACCTCTGTGAATAACAATTACTACAAGGCAATGAACTTGCTGCTGGCACAAATGCTGCTCTGGCAACAAGAGTAGACAGGCACATACAAAATTGTATAGTTTAGTGATTCTCAAACTGTGGAGTGCAAAGGTCCAGGTAGGCAGAAAACCCTGGGGAGGTGAAACCATCCTTCTTCCATAAATCTGAGTGAATTGAATATTCCCTGATAGAGGATCCTCAATGATCCTTATTGGATCTTGGAGCTTGACTGCATCCCCAGTGTCTCCTTCTATCCTCAACCTGGTTTAGAAAGAATAAACATTTTGGTTTTAACAAAAAGTTTAAACAGGTTGCTGATTTGTTCTAATGGAAGTTCCCCCTGTGCAGTTTGAGCAGAGGTCAGGGAAGTCCAGCTTTTTCTAATGCCAGTGTTGGATTAGTACCACAATCCACAGATCCTCATATGCAAGAGGCTGCCTGCAACTGTGCATGAGAACACCTACATGTTCACCTATGAAACAGATTACAGGGGTTGGAGGAAGAACATAAGGTGAAAGACATTTACAAGAGGATCCCCACATTCAAAGATTTAGTGAAATGTGACTATAATTACTTGGGTCCTTTACAGGTAAAAGGAGGACAGGTGTCAGCTAAGAATGCAGCTGTCTTAACAATATTGCCTTCTCTTGTGCTCTGAAAGGTTATGAGCAACCGTACACCAAATCCAGTCCCAGGCAGGAACCTAGGATGGCCCCACTACTGAAGGTCAGTACCTGCTGACAATTGCCATGCATGGAAAAAAGGAGTGACCAGGTGTGGGCAACCATCCCAGAAACAGTTGAGCTGTAAGAGTGAAGGTAAGAAATACAAACATTTTGTCAACTTTAGGTGAAGCACCATGCAGATATGTCTTCTTTTTGAGCCAACAATTAGGGCTGGAAATGACAGAGCACCTGTGATAAATGATGGCAAGCCATTCATGTTTATGGTTAGGCCTCTAAAGCTACTCTGCTGGCTTTTTCTAACTGTGTGCTGTTGCATGAGGTAGCTCGAAATTTGTACTATATTAGTGATTTGCATTATTCTTTCTAAAGGACCATACTGTAGAATGTTTATTTCTCTGCATTGCAGTTTCATGTCTATTGTAGAGATGGCACCATCTCTAACCTTTGCACCAAACATTAAAATGATGCTAAATTAGGAAGTATGAAAGCCCAAGCAATTTGATATTAAACTGCACATAAGCAAGAAACTCTGTCTGTCTCACAAGCCCATAATTACTGAGAAAGTGACTGAAGTACTTACCTCAGAAAACCACTTAGAGAAGAGGCTATGACTATTTATCTCTATCAACTGTCCATAGCGGTACCTGTAATTCAATTAATTCAGTTAAGACAATTAATATTTAAATGTGGATGCTCACAGAATCAATGTTAAACAACAGTCAGGAGTTGTATCATGTCCTGTAGCATAGTAGATCAAGTGATCCCATCATTTCTCTTGATAAGCCAGGTGTTATGGCTCATGGAGCATGAATTCACACAGTATGATCCAAATGTTAAGCCCTTTATTTTTAATGGATTTTATAAGCATATTACAGAAACAAACAGGAAACATGGAGCAAAATGATCACTGCACATTAAATATACATTTCAGGAATTTGAGAGATAAACTTTGCTATTATCACTAAATATGCATGATCCTATGCATATTTAAGACATAAATCAGTCTTATAATTCCCAGCATTCCCCAGTCAGCATGGGTGGAGAAGGACTTTCATCACGGACTGGGTTGTGCCCTTAATCTATCAAGAACAAACCTTGAATAATGGGTGGTCTGAGATGCAAGGTATTTTTATTGAGAAAAAAAATGAATAGGAATTATGTCACCAGAAACACATCCTGCTGAGTTTTGTGAGTTAAGCTTTCTCCATGGGGAAGTACTTTGAATTCTTTTAAACCAACAACCAACTGTATATCCTGAGGATATTTATCTTTCTTCTCTATCTTTGCTGCTTCTAAGCCAGAGAAGGGAAACATGTAGCTCTGCAACTCCCACCATGTCTCACTATTAGCTATGCAGGCTAGGACTAATGGGAATTGGAGTCTAACACCCGGAGGGCTACATGGCCGCTTTCCTTGTTTTAACTGGAGTGGGACTGACAAACATCACAGAAGGCATTAACACTGAGTAGCCTAGATCTTTTTTCAGATGAGAAAGAGGATTTAAACTCTAGTAATGTATTGGAAATCTCAAGGCCAGGAAACCTAGCAGAGCCTCACTTTGAAAGTGATCACGGGACACCTAGGAATGGAACTTCAGATCTGGACTTACTGCCCAGATTGGAACAGGAGGAAGGGGGATTGGGTATCTCAGCCATGAGATGCCAAATCAAGAGAGAGAAGCAGCATTGCCCTGTGCCATTTTGTGTTTATAGGCTAAGGGTTCAGGTTTGGAATGGTGGTCAGAAGAAGCGAGTTATCCAGGCCTACCCTGGAACTTACAATAGACTCAAGCTGCTTGTTTATGGTAATTTGATACTGAGTTTCTGTATGAAAAATTTTGCTGCAACTATGATTCTGAAAGAACTTTCACTTGCAAAGGACTTCCCTTAGTCAAACTGAGGAACTGTTGCTGTGAAGAAGCCAAACTTGCAAGTTATTTCACAAGTCTTTGCACCTGCATCTGTGTAACCTGATCTGAGGAAATAAAAGTAAAAAGGACTCTTGTGATGGATTGCCTGAGCCACATAGGCTGGCTGACAGGGAAGTGTATTTATGTCAGCAAATGCTGACAAAAGGACTAATAAAAAGTCAAATCCTGCATGTGAAGATGGCATTGTTCTCTACATCCTCTTAACAATAGGGCGCGGTATGGTCTAATGTGGTAATGTGGTATGACCTTAGTGCTGTTAAATTCTACTTATACAATATTTATTTATTTATTTAGCAAATTTCTATGCCGCCCCATTCGCCAAAGCCTTGGGGCAGCTCAAAAATCTATCAATTAAAATATTGTAAAATAAAAATATAAAAACAAGTTAACAATATAAAATAAGTCGCCCTGGCCGAAGAATAAAAAATAAATAGTATTAACAGTTAAAATGACGTTTGAATAAAAAGGTCTTCGCCTGGCGCCGAAAAACAAATAACGACGGTGCCAGGCGGACCTCTCTGGGGAGCGCATTCCATAGATTGGGCGCCACTGCAGAGAAAGCCCTCCTCCGAGTACTTACCCTCCTAATTTCCTTCACGGAGGGCTCCCGGAGAAGGGCCTCTCCCACAGATCTCAGGGGGCAGGCGGGCATATATGGACGTAAGCTCTCCTTCAGGTAACCAGGACCCAAGCCGTTTAGGGCTTTATAGGTCATCACCAACACCTTGAATTGGGCCCGGACTTCAATGGAAAGCCAGTGAAGCTGACAGAGGACTGGAGTCATGTGCACATAACGCCCAAGTCCCCGTCAGCAGCCTGGCAGCTCTATTTTGAACCAATTGAAGTATCCAGACCGTCTTCAAGGGTAGCCCCACGTAGAGCGCGTTACAGAAGTCAAGGCAGGAAGTCACCAACGCGTGTGTCACTGTCGCCAGGCAGTCGTACTCCAGGTAGGGGCGCAGCTGATCGATCAGCCGAAACTGAAGGAAAGCGCTCCTCGCCACTGCTGTCACCTGAGCTTCCAGTGAAAGCTCTGGGTCGAGGAGCACTCCCAAGCTGCAGACCTTGTCCCTAAGAGGGAGTGCAACCCCACTCAGGACTAGGTTCAATTCACCCTCACTGAAGCCCGATCCACCAACCAACAGGACCTCCGTCTTGTCTGGATTGAGCTTCAGTTTATTGGCCCTCATCCAGCCCATTACCTCAGCCAGGCACCGGTTCAGCACAGCCACTGCCTCACCCGGATTGATAGAAAACGAGAGGTAGAGCTGGGTATCATCAGCGTACTGATGATTCCGCAGCCCACACCTCCTGATGACCTCTCCCAGCGGTTTCATGTAGATGTTAAACAGCAAAGGGGACAAAATGGACCCCTGCGGTACTCCATGGCATAGCTGCCATGGCGCAGAGCCATAGTCCCCCAGCACCACCTTCTGAAATAGGTCATTGAGATAGGAGCGGAACCACTGCAAAGCAGTGCCTCCGACCCCCAATCTCGCTAGCCTATCCAGAAGGATACCATGGTCGATGGTATCGAAAGCCGCTGAGAGGTCCAGAAGAGCCAACAGAGACGCACTCCCCCTGTCCTTCTCCCTGCACAGGTCATCATACAGGGCGACCAAGGCAGATTCAGTACCATACCTGGGTCTGAAGCCGGACTGAAATGGGTCCAGATAATCAGTTTCATCCAAGAGAGCTTGGAGTTGTCCCGCCACCACCCGCTCCAACACCTTGCCCAGAAACGGGATGTTGGCCACTGGTCTATAATTAGTGGCCATCTCTGGATCCATCTCTGGATCCCTTAAAGGGGCAGGTACCCGACCCTCCCTCAGAGAAGCGTTAACCACTTCCAAGATCCAGATCCCAATCCTGTGCTTGGAGTTATTTATTAACCAAGACAGGCAAGGGTCCAATAGGCAAGTGGTGGGACGTACTCGTCCAAGCACCTTGTCCACATCATCAGGCCGCAATAACTGAAATTCATCCATTAATTTTGGACCAGACGGCAGCATTGGTATCTCCCCAGAAACCTCTGAGTCACTAGTAGAGTCTAGCTTGTGACGAATCTGAGCTATTTTCTCCCTGAAATGCTTGGCAAAGTCGTCACAGCGGGCCTTTGAGGGTGGAACCAGATCTTTCTTAGGACCTGGACGAACCAGGCCTTGCACCACTCAAAAAAGCTCCGCTAGACGGCATTGTGAGGAGGCAATGGAAGCGGGAAAAAACCTCTTTTTCGCCACCCTCACCGCCACAGCATAGGCCCGATAATGGGCTCTTAAGCGTGTTCGGTCAGATTTATCCCGTGATTTCCTCCACCTATGCTCTAGCCGTCTCCCAGCCTGCTTCATCGCTCGCCATTCAGGTGTATACCAAGGGGAAGAGTGGGCTCTGCCCGGCGGGAGAGGACGCTTTGGAGCGATCGTGTCAACAGCCCTGGTCATCTCCCCGTTCCACAGTTCGACCAGAGCCTCGACAGGAGCACCAGTCTTGTCAGCCAGAAACTCCCCCAGGGCCTTCAGGAATCCATCCGGATCCTTCCGGCTCTGGGAGCGGACCCACACAATCGGGTCCACACCCTTACAGAGGGAGAGGCCGCTCTCAAGCTCAAAACTCACCAGGAAGTGATCTGACCATGACAGGGGTGTCAAACATAAGTTCCTCACCCTCAGACCACCCTTTTCCTGCCCCATCGAGAAAACCAGGTCCAGAGTGTGTCCATGTTCATGGGTCGGGCCGGTGACATGTTGAGACAGCCCCATGGCCGTCATGGAGGCCATGAAGTCCTGAGCCGCCCCGGTCAGACCAGTCTCGGCATGGAGATTGAAGTCCCCCAGGACCAACATTCTGGGGGTCCTCAACACCAGGTCCGAAACGATCTCCGTCAGCTCAGGCAGGGAGACTGTTGGGCAGAAGGGTGCACGGTACACCAACAGAATCCCCAATCTGTCTCGGTCGCCCAACACCAAGTAGAGGCACTCCAGCCCTGGCCTCGAAGGGACCGGAAGTCCTGCGAGGGAGATGGAGGCTTGGTAAACCAAAGTGACCCCCCCTCCCCTCCCCTCCCCTCCCTTCCAGGCATGAATGGTGCTGAACCAGATACCCGGGCAGGCACATTTGACAGAGGGCGACACCTCCCCTCCCGCCCAGGTCTCCGTTATGCAAGCCAGGTCGGCCCCCTCATCCACAATCAAGTCATGGATGAGGGAAGATTTATTGTGGACCGACCTGGCATTGAGCAGCAGCACCATCAGGCCTGAGGGGTGGCTGACAACACTACCTGGAACCCTCTGGCTGGGGGCAAAACCAGAAGGAGGGACAGGTGTCAGCCATCTGTCCCTCCTCCTTCTACGCGGACACGTTAAGCCCCCACCTCTGTAACGTCCATTGCCCATAACCACCCCAATGGCGGCATCTACGCGCTCCCCAGGAAACACAAACGTCGACATGGCCAGTGATGACTCCATAAAAACAAATTAAAATACAATAAAACTTTAAAAACAATCAAAAACTCCCCGTTTTCCCCCCACTACAAAACTAAACTTCCCCCCACCAACCTAGTCCCCCGCCAGCTCAGCCCCGCACGACCACGAACAGCCACAAACAGCGGCACCACCCTTTGGCCAGCGCCTGCCCGCGTGCCCCGCCCCAATCCGGTGTTGCTCTCACCGGCGCTGGTGGGGGGGTGAGCAGGGAGGGGCGCGGAAACCCATCCGGCGGCAAGATGGCGGCGCCCTCCTCCGTGCCATCAGCGGCGGGCCTGGCATAGGCCTGGTGTCCTCCGTGCCCGGGGTGGCCCAGCGATGGCCACAGGAGCGGCGTCAGCTGGCTCCCAGCTCAGCGGTGCGCCCCAGTCCGGTGGCGGCGGCGGCAGCGTGGCAGATGGTCCGAGCTGCAGAGTGCGGCAGATGTTCGGGGGAGGGAGGGAGCTCCAAGCCCACCCAGCCCCAGGCTGCGTCCGGTGGGTTAAGCCGGCGACCGCCCACGCGCCCCGCCCCAATCCGACGTTGCTCTCACTGGCACCGGCGGGGTGGGGAGCAGGGAGGGGCACGGAAACCTGTCGGCGGCGGGCCTGGCGTGGCCCTGGCGTCCTCCGTGCCCGGGGTGGCCCAGCGATGGTCTCAGAGTAGACCCTTTAATAATATTATTACATTACATTTATACCCCATCTTGCAAGGAAACCAAGGAGACTTACAAGGTTCTTATCCTCCTCTCCATTTTATCTTCACAACAACCCATTGAGGTAGGATAGGTTGGGAATCCATAACTGGCCTAAAGTCACCCAGTGCGCTTGAGCTTCATGGCTGAATGGGGACTAGAACCCAGATCTCCTGGTCCAATAATATAAGCACTATGCCACATTAGTCTCTTACACAGGTTGAAAGTTCAGCAGTTTGTATTTCAATGGGAGAACTGAGGAATTAAATCTTTCCCACTAAAGTCAGTGAGACTGAACTTTGGCTAGATTATGATCACATTTTTCTATTTTTAGTTACCTGAAATTAATTGGTACTTAAAATAGTTTTTAAAAGTTCAGTGTCAGAGTTATTACAGATATTATGGCACGTAATTTTCCCATCCTCTTTTCTTTCTCATTTACAAATATGTTGTTGTTGTTGCATCCAACCCATCTCGACCCCATGGACAACATTCCTCCAGGCCTTCCTGTCCTCCACCATCACCTGGAGTCCACCTAAGCTCACACCAACCGCTTCAGTGACTCCATCTAGCCACATCATTCTCTGCTGTCCCCTTCTTTTGCCGTCTATTGTTCCCAGCATTAGGCTCTTCTCCAGGGAGTCCTTTCTGCACATTAGATGGCCAAAGTATTTGAGTTTCATCTTCAGTATCTGGCCTTCTAAAGAGCAGTCAGGGTTGATCTCCTCTAGGACTGACCAGTTTGATCGCCTTGTGGTCCAAGGGACTGGCAGGAGATTCCTCCAGCACCACAATTAGAAGGCCTCAATTCTTCGGCACTCAGCCTTCCTTATGGTCCAGCTTTCACAGTCATACATTGCAAGTGGGAAAACCATAGCCGTGACTATACACATTTTTGTTCGCAGGGTGATGTCTCTGCTTTTTAATATTCTGTCTAGATTGGCCATAGCTATCCTCCCCAGAAGCAAGCGTCTTTTAATTTCTTGGCTGCAGTCACCATCTGCGGTGATCTTGGAGCCCAGGAAAATAAAATCTGTTACTACCTTCATTTCTTCCCCAACTATTTGCCAGGAAGTGAGAGGACCGGATGCCATGGTCTTAGTTTTCTTAATGTTGAGTTTCAAGCCAACTTTTGCACTCTCCTCTTTCACCCACATCAAGAGGCTCTTTAGTTCCTCTTCACTTTCTGCCATTAGAGTGGTATCATCTGCATATCTGAGGTTGTTGATATTTCTCCCAGCAATCTTAATTCCAACTGGTGATTCATCTAGCCCCACCTTTCTCATGATGTGCTCTGCATATAAGTTAAATAGGCAGGGCGACTGTATACAGCCTTGCTGAACTCCTGTCTCAATTTTGAACCAATCAGTGGTTCCATGTCCAGTTCTCACTGTTGCTTCTTGACCCGCATATAGGTTTCGCAAGAGACAAATAGGATGGTCTGGTACTCCCATCTCTTTAAGAATGTGCCACAGTTTGTTGTGATCCACACAATCAAAGGCTTTAGCATAGTCAATGAAGCAGAAGTAGATGTTTTTCTAGAACTCCCTAGCTTTCTCCATGATCCAGCATATATTGGCAATTTGATCTCTAGTTCCCCTCCCTCTTCGAAATCCTGCCTGTACTTCTGGTAGTTCTCGGTCCACATACTGCTGGAGTCTAGCTTGTAGGATTTGGAGCATAACTTTGCTAGCATGTGAAATGAGTGCAATGGTGCAGTAGTTTGAACATTCTTTGGCATTGCCCTTCTTTGGGATCAGAATGCAAACTGACCTTTCCCAATCCTGTGGCCACTGTTGAGTTTTCCAAGTTTGCTGGCATATTGAGTGTAGCACTTTTACTGCATCGTCTTTTAAGATTTTGAATAGCTCAGCTAGAATATTGTCACCTCCACTAGCTTTGTTGTTGCTCAGGCTTCCTAAGGTCCATTTGACTTCACATTCCAGGATGTCTGGCTCGAGGTCAGTGACCACCCCATCATGGTTATCAGGGACGTTAAGCTCTGTCTTGTATAGTTCTTCTGTGTAATCTTGCCACCTCTTCTTAATCTCTTCTGCCTCTGTTAGGTCCCTGCCATTTTGGTCCTTTATCATGCCCATCTTTACATGAAACATTCCCTTCATATCTCCAATTTTCTTGAAGAGATCTCTGCTCCTCCCTCTCCTATTGTTTTCTTCTATTTCTTCGCACTGTTCATTTAAGAAGGCATTCTTACCTCTTCTAGCTATTCTCTGGAATTCTCAATTCAATTGGGTGTATCTTTCCTTTTCTCCCTTGCCTTTCTCTTCCCTTCTTTCCTCAGCTATTTGTGAAGCTTCCTCAGACAGCCGTTTTGCTTTCTTGCATTTCTTTTTCTTTGGGATGGTTTTAGTTGCTACCTCTTGTTCAATGTTTCAAACCTCCGTCCATAGTTCTTCAGGCACTCTGTCTATCAGATCTAATTCCTTAAATCTATTTGTCACCTCTGCTGTATATTCATCAGGGATATGATTTAGGTAATACCTGAGTGGCCTAGTGCTTTTCCCTACTTTCTTCAATTTAAGCCTAAATTTTGCAACGAGAAGCTCATGATCTGAGCCACAGTCAGCTCCTAGTCTAGTTTTTACTGACTGTATCGAGCTTCTCCATCTTTGGCTGCAGAGCACATAGTCAATCTGATTTCTGTGTTGACTGGTGATGTCCATGTGTAGAGTCGTCTGTTGGGTTGTTGGAAAAAAGTGTTTGCTATGACCATTGGATTCTCTTGACAAAATTCTACCATCCTGTGCCCTGCTTCATTTTGTACACCAAGGCCAAACTTGCCTGTTATTCCAATTATCTTTTGGCTTCCTACTTTAGCATTCCAATCCCTCATGATGATAAGGACATCATTTTTTGGTGTTAATTTTAGAAGGTGTTGTAGGCCTTCATAGAACCAGTCAACTTCAGCCTCTTCAACACCAGTGGTTGGGGCATAGATTTGGACTACTGTGATGTTGAATGGTTTGCCTTGAATTCGAACAGAGATCATTCTGTCATTTTGGAGATTGTATGCCAGTACTGCTTTTCCTGCTCTTTTATTGACTATGAAAGCCACTCCATTTCTTCTGAGGGATTGTCCGCAGTAGTATACCTGATGGTCATCTGAATTAAATTCACCCATTCCTGTCCATTTTAGTTCACTGATTCCTAAGATGTCGATGCTCAGTCTTGTCATCTCTTGTTTGACCACATCCAGCTTGCCTTGATTCATGGATCTTACATTCCAGGTTCCTATGGAGTATAGATCTTTGCAGCATCGCACTTTCCTTTCACCACCAGATACGTCTGCAATTGATTGTCCTTTTGGCTTTGACCCTGTCGCTTCATTCTTTCTGGTGCTACTAGTACTAGCCCTCTGCTCTTCCCCAGTAGCATATTGGGCACCTTCCAACCTGAGAAGCTCATCTTCCAGCATCATGTCTTTTTGCCCTTTGGTACTGTCCATGGGGTTTTCATGGCAAAGATACTGGAGTGGGTTGCCATTTCCTTCTCCAGGGGATCACGTATTGTCAGAGCTCTGTGCTATGACCTGTCCATCTTGGGTGGCCCTGCACAGCATAGCTCATAGCTTCATTGAGGTACGCAAGCCCCTTCGCCACAACAAGGCAGTGATCCATGAAGGAGTATACAAGTATATATTAGAAGTATAGTGCTGCTTTTCATTTCTTTCATACAGGAGTTCTAATTGTTTCACAGAGGAAGGGGAGCATGTGTACAGTCAGGAAAGATGACGTCCAAACTATCAACCTATTGGGAAACTGTCTTCTGCAAGCCCTGTTTAATTGAATTGAAGGGAGCGGTACACCACGGTAAGATAGTGCTTTGGCAAAGTACAGATAAAATGCTAGCTTTTAGACTAGGCACTATTCTGATTTTTAATAGATGAAAATATAAATCTTACCTTTGGGAAAGTCTAATAGTCAGTTTCTGAGCCAGTGCTTTGCAGAGAGATGTTTTACCAGTTCCTGGAGGACCTGCGATAGAAATACATTACACATGATCTGTTAAATAACTGTACAATCCTACACAAATTTTAATAGAAACAAGTCCTACAACTCCCAGCATGTTTTGCTCTTTTTCTTTAAATATGACATAACATCCAGCAAGTTTGCAGCAGCAGAGCACTTGCTACTACATTGTGTTCTTTCTCAAAATGCTGTCACATAGAGGGCTAGTATAATCTAGTGGGCCAGAAAGTGCCCCACTTCTACAATAAGGAGATAATAACACTGACTTATCTTCTAGATTTGGTGCAAGGTGTATCAAGATAATGTATGGGAAACATTTTTAACAGTACCAAGTACTATATTTATTTATTTAAAACATTTCTATGCCGCTCCCATCGCAACAAAGCCTCGGGGCGGCTCACAAAAAATACAAAGGGAAAAAAAACATTTAAACCCCCCCAGTGCATTCTCGGCTAATTTAAAATCCTAATAAATACAATAATTTATTGTAGTATATGAATACTAAGTATTGCATAGAACTCCTGTGCTAGTTAAATCCCCAAACTTGCTATCCAAGCAGTTAAAAAGATCATCTTTACCATGCAGTAGGACAACTCTGTTCCATGATATCAAGTTGCTGTTGACATTTCTGTCAGAGAATAGCAAAGTTGTAGTCACATAATCTAATAGCTAATTGGATGGAAAAAGAAGTGGAGAAAGGGATACAATTATAAAAGCTGCTAGGCGCAAACCAAATTATTTCAAATCTTTTTGAATTTAGGAATAAAATTGCCTAGCAATTAAGCTCTTAGGAGATATTAACCACTATTTTCTGTTCTGCTGCTACAGACAGATGGAAAGAATCTTTCACTGTCCACACAGTGAAGTTCCTTCCATGTTCTCAAGATTAAAGGGCAGTGCCTTCTGCTGGATCCTACCTTGGCATCACTTATGTGAGACTTGTAGTCTCTGTAGCTCCAAGACAACAAAAGGAAATATCTACATATCTAGAATTTCTTGAAAATCCTGCCACCTCTCATTTTTTGAATACAAAATGAGCTGTGGAGGGGTGGATTGGGAGTGTATATATGAATGGTGTGAGCAGGTCAGGAGAAAGAATGTGGTATGTGTGAAAAAGAGAGAGAATGGTATGCATGACAATGATATGGTTCAAATGTTCCAACAACCCACCATTGTTTGTTACTGTAGCTGAATTGCTGTGTCACAAGCATATAGCTTGTGGGTTTTTCCCCTAAAGCACCCACCCTGAGAAGCCATGGGCTGTTTTAGGGTTGTTGCCACCTAGGATGGGTTACATTGTTAGACTACGTGACTCACAATGAATGAACTCCAACAGCCAGTGAGCTGCTTGAAGAGTGTAGAAAAAATCCCTTACTATACTTGACAAATGGTTGCCAGGTAAGCCTCCCTGACAACACTTGGGAGATGCTGTCAGATGCTTCCCCTTCCCCACAACAATGTGGAGTAGTCATCCTTGCCAGCAGCTTGACAATCCATGCCACAGTGCTACTTCATGCTCAGGGCAATGGGTGCACAGGAGGCACCCCTGTAAACCCTGAGAGTAAACCTCTTGGGCAAAAAGTGGGAGGCAGTAATTTATTCCGTGATGCTGCCCCATGCTTAAGGTGATGTCCTAAACATAATGGGCACCCTACCTCCTACAGGATCAGTTCCACCCTTCCTTCCATTGCATTTCAAGGTACAGGTCCTATTCACACTATCAGGACAAGAAAGTCCTTTTGATTCTTTTTCTCTGCCCCTGAAGATGACAGTGTCAGCTTGTGGCCTCAGCTGGAAGCCTGACCCTCTTACACCTCTGGGCAGAGCTGTTTGTGCAACAGGGACAGTGATGGCCCCAGAGATGGTGGTGGCTGTCAGAAAGAGGAGTCTTGTTCTTCCTTGTGATTTCCCCCAGAATGTCACTTGGAGATATGAGGGAGAAGGAGCAAAGTATCCACAATGAGCCCAGTAATCTGCCAGATTCATCACATCTATTGGCATGGTAGGCTGTTGCATCATGTGAAGTCAGTTGGAGTTCTGGGCACAGATAATGCTGGCAACTAGTCTCAGGGAGGTTTCTCAGGTAGCAATCTGAAACTCTGGCTGAGAAGGTTGCCAACACTGCTTCAAAAGTATTCAAGTATGGTGGCTATTAACAACAAGAGTAATAAGTGATAACACAGTAGTGCTAGCTTAGCTTTATCAATTAACAGTGCAGCAGCAAAGGCAATTCTTGTTCTCTAAAACAAAGTGATGGTGGAGGAAAGAGGCCCTCTTCCTTCCTCTCCAACAGCTCTTCTGCATCCTGGTTTCAGATAACACCTCCCCGCACCAACCCCATTCTTTCGCCTTCCTCATTTTCACAAGATTCTATGTGTAGTATACAACACCATAGGATACTATCTTGTCATTGTCATATGATGAGGACAAACAACAGGGAATGGACACACTGATTGCAACACACTAGTTTTCCCAGAAGCATTTGTCTGTCCATTGTTAAAAACCAAATGGCCTTTTGCTCTGATACCCAAAACAAATTCTTATGAGGACTATCTCTGGAAAAATAAGACATCCTAGGAATTAAACACCAATTCTGCACCCCACTGCCTCACTGCTAAGAAATAATGCTACTAGAAACTAGTATCAGCCATTGTAAACAGCTTTGGAACCTGACAAGTGGGGGTTTTTTGCCCCCTGTTAGTACAGTAGGTTGAGTAGAAATGAGCTATTTGTCTAGTAAATTATACATTCATATGTTTCCTATGGACAACTGTTTACATATTTGATAAAATGCAATTCAGCTTACATTTGATTTTATTTCAGCATCATAAATAAGGCTCTCCCACAAACCATGGAATTCAACTGTAAAACAACAGTTATACATTATTTTAAATATATAGCTACAGAAATTAAAAAAAACCATTGATTAATAAACTAAGAGCAAAACTGGTGTAAACCAATACTGCAATCCTCCTTAAAACTAAGTTCCACTGACACAGTAGAACATACTTCTGAATAAAGATGCATAAGATGAATTAGTTTCTTATTTCAGTTAAGAAACAGATTCTTTACTCACCATTGAATTTATTTTCTGCACTAGTGAAGAAGGCCAGCTAGCTCTGGGGGAGGCCCTGCCTCCAAGGCTGAGTAGGCACACTTTCTGGAGGAGGAAGGACCAACCCTAGAAGCTCCAGTAGACTGTTCCAACAAAGTGGATTTCATAAGTGGTGCTCTTCAATGCTGCTGAACCATAAGAAACCTTGAAGGTTGATCAGCCTGTCAAGGAAGGGGAGAACCCTGACTGATTGCCCCAAAGGAGGCTGGCCCAAGGGAGAGGGCCCAGCTGGCCTTTTTCACTCATGGTGAACATAAATTCTACAGTGAGTAAAAGCCTTTCCATTTCTCTCAGCTTGGGAACAGATGGAGGAAAACTCCCAGAGGATGCAATCAGTCCCAAGTATGTGCCTTCAGTAGGCCATACAGGCAATGAAGGCAGGAAAGAAATATTGCCTCAATTTAATCTTCCATTTGTTACCCAGTGGAGCTCTTTTGGGTCATCTGGGAACTAGTACATGCTGACCTCAAAGTCATAGCAGACCCATCTGAGGCCTGCTGTAATGTATTTGCTGGAAAAAATATTGCATCTGCCAGGCCTTAGACTCCAGAGTTAAAACAGATACCCAGAGCACAGCTTGATCCAGCTTTATTGGATGAGTTTCAGTTGGTAGCTTGAGGATGTTGCCAGTGTGCTTAGCCAGCTTTATATAACCACCTCTCCACTGAATATTTGCCCCTCTTGACATCCAAAAAGCAGCAGGGAGGGAAAAATTGGCTTGGCCAGAGAAGTGATAAATGACTTTTTAAGAGGGAGGTGGTAGTAAGCCCACTTCTGAAGAAATCCACCCTTGACTGGCAAGACCTTAATAACTTTAGAATGGAAGCAAATGTTCCTGTTATGGGCAAAATTCTTAAGCAAGTAGTTGTCAACCAACTCCAGCCACGCTGAGATGAGACTGATTATCTGGATCCATTTCAGCTCAGTTTCAGGCCTGATTTTGGCCTGGAAACAGCCATGTCACCCTGTGTGTGGGGCTATGCTTGGAGAAAGATAGGAGGAGAGCCTGAATTCTCAACAATTTTTTATGCCATTAACCTCTGACTTAGATGTGGGAGGTATTGTTTTGCAGTGATTCTGCTCCTAACTTGGGAGGCTGACTTCCAAAGAAGATGCTTGGGATATATTGTCCAACCCCATGGATTCACCAACATTGGAGTTCCTCAGGGGTCTATTCTAGCATGGATTCCCCATGCTATGTAACATCTACATGAAACGGCTGAATGGGGTCACCTGGAGTTTTGGAGTGCATTGTCATCAGTATGCTGACGACACACAGCTCTATTTCTCCTTTTCATCATCTGCAGGTGAGGCTGTGGATGTGGTAAATTTATGCCTGACTGTGACAATGGAAACTGAAGCTTAAGCCAGACATAACTCAGATGCTATTGGTGGGTGGTTCTTTTGGCCAGATGGCATTCAGCATTCAGCCTGTTGCACTGTCCTCAAAGAAGCTAGTTAATAGCTTAGGGGTTCATCTTTGTCACTCAAGGCTCAGCTAGCCTCAGAAACTCAGAATGTCTTCTACCAGCTTTGGCTAGCAGCCTAACTATGGCATATCTGGACAGAGATAGCCTTGCTATCAGTGATTTATGCTCTGGTAATCTAGATTACTACAACACACTCTGTGTGGGGCTGCTCTTGAAGACTGTTCAGAAGCTGCAGCTCATATGGAATGTGCAATCAGATTAATCACTGGAACTAATCACTGGAACCAAACAATGAGAACAGTTCTGGCCCACTTGCATTGGCTGCCTGTAGGTCTGTATTCTAGATGCTGGTTTTAACCTATAAGCTGTACATGACTAGAACCATAATAATTGACTCTTCTAAGCACAGTCTACGCAGACACTATGCTCAACATATGAGCATAGTGTCTCTGGGTGCCAGAGGGTAGCTTTCTTTGTGATGACCTCCTAGCTACAGAATACCGTGATCTACCTGTCATTGTTGTTTTCTTTTTGATACCAGATGGCCCTTTATGCCAAGGCTTTTAAAGATATACTTGGTGAAATTCTAGGAATTGTGACTAGGATTTTATGATGCAATATGATGACTTTCATGAGCCTATGCAACCTCCCAAATTTGTTTTGGCTGCAGTGGGGAGAAGAAGGTAGGAAAATCCTGTTTCCTAAGTTGATGGCCCACTGAGTAAATAGACTTCCTGTTGTTCAAGAATGTCTGCTTGCATGACATTTGGATCTGACCCAGTGTATTTTATTTTATAATTATGTGTGCAAATTTTTCAATCTGTTCCTTGTTCCAATTACAATTTCCACCTAAACCTATCCGCCTGCAGAAATAATAAAAACATTTATTATTGTTCCTCATGACAAATGTATTCCAGATATCTTACTGGTATACTATTCTGAACTCTCAGAAATCATCATAAGTCATAAATTAAAAAAATACCTGTAGGCAATATCCAGTGGTTAGCTGCAACAATATCTTCATCTTCTGACTCCAGATTTTCCGCACTGGGCCCTTCTTCATTGAGATGAAAAATATGGATTGAAAGACTGCATCTACGTAAGCTAATAGGCTGCAATAGAAAGAAAAAAAGTTGGGCTGGAATCCTATGCACCTTTTTGTGGGAGTATGTCCCATTGAACTGCTAGATACTGCTTGTGCTTGTAAGGCAATGCTCAATGAACTCAGAGAATTACTGGTATCTATTGCCTTTTTGTATCTATCCCTCACCTTCCAAAACACTTAAGCAGCCAATTTTGGCCATTTGGGTGTTTAACTGTTGCTCATGACTGGCTAGGTACCACTAGGATTCTTCCTATCCCAGAAGAGCCTTGCTCCTCCTCCTCCCTGCACTACCAGTACAGTCCCAGAGGTTGCATTATAACTTCAGAGTCACAGTTAGTTAAGAAAGAACCTCACCAGCTACAAGGATGAATGAATCCACTCTATATTTGACGCCCCAGCTCCCATGTCAGAATGCGTTTGCAAGGACAAAACTAGGGTGTCACATTTTCCTATGGCCACCAGACATTGTTTATTGCTGTAGTTGCATCTTAATTATCTTTTTTAATAGCAACAAACTGATAACACATGCTCTTACAAAAGAAATTTGAATGATGTGAAAAATAATTAATACCTGTCTTTCTTTCAGCTTTAGCTCTGTATCCACAATTGCAATCGATTGCACATTATTTGTTAGAAAATAGTCATCAAATTCAGTCCATTTATAATCACCAAAGACAACACTATGCTTTAGTAGCTTTAAGACATTTGCTCTGATATCTTCTTTCTTTGCAGTGCTGGTTAGGACAAAAAAAAAAAAACATAATAGTTTCCGCTATAACTGTTACAGCTAAGAAATACCCACTACCTTTTATTTCAACCACTTGTACCACACGATGGCATCCATCCCACTGCTACACCTTCATAGTACAAACCACAGGTATACACAATTCTGATTATAGCATCCATCAAGGGACTGAGTAAGCTATACTAATCTGAAGTGCCTGTGAAGGAAGCAATATAAAAACCCTATGGCTAAATCTCTAAGCCTCACTGGGCACAGGCAAGAAGATACCTCTTTTCAGCAGCCCAGCTGACATGGGTGGCAATATCCTTATTAGCTACAGACAAGTTCACCAGCTGGCCCCTATACACACATAAAAAGACTCCTCTCACAAAAGAGAATTTCCTTAACCTTTAGGAGAGGGGCAAAGCTCAATGGCAAAAGATAGGCTAATCATAAAAGTTCCAGGCTCAGTTCCTAGAACTTACAACAAAAATGGAACTCAGAAAGATGTGAAAAGATTAGGAAACTGTTGGGGGCTCTACAAGGTAGAGCCTGTCCAAGGCAGCTTCACAGTCTGAATGTATCACATGCATCGTAATAATTTATTTGGAGTGGGAGGAGCTTCCCCCCTAACTTTATCATGCTGTATGGATAAGATCTGTACTCTCGGAGTTCCACCAAGCCCTGTCAACTTTGGAAATCAATAATTTTATCCCCTGTACCACAAGACAATCTGGTACAAGAGATAATAGAAGTCACTATCTGTTGGAGACACTTAAGTCACAAAACCAACCTGTTTGATTTCTGGTGAACTTCTACATGTATCTGTAGGGATTCACAGTCATTTTGAAGAGCCAGTTTGGAATCATCTGCAGCTTCATCCATTCTATAGAAATATAGTGGTTAAAAGAAGAGGTTATACATGTCAAATGGCAGGAAACATGTTATCCTTTCAGAGTTCTCCATTGTTTTTTTCATTTTCGCTTCATTTCAGACATTTTTCTCCCTTTACCGGAACACTCAACCCAATCACGCACACTTGACATCACATGTGTGTGCTGGTCCCAAGTCTGGAGAAATGGAGAAGGTTGAGGAAAGACTTTGCGAACTACGCCGGAAAAACTTGCCAAGAAAATACTATGGTACAGTTCTCAAACAACTTTGATATGTTGCCCAGTGGTGAGACCCCCAGTCCATGGGGTACCCAACATGCAATTGGGGAAGAGTGAGGGTCCTCAGCAAGTAATGCTAGTTTTTATGATGCACCCAGGGCAAACCCATCAGGAACCTCAGATGTTGATGCTGCCAGTGGCAAAAACAAGGGTATCCTCTGCACAAAGAACTTTGAATGGCAACTTGGAATGTCAGAGGAATGAGCCAAGGCAAATTGGACATTGTCAAACAGGAAATGGATTAAAAATCGACTTCATTGACATTAGTGAGTTACATTGGACAGATGATGGTTATTTCCAGTCTGAGGACTTTACCATCTATTACTCAGAACATGAGAACATGAAAAGGAATAGAGTGGAATAGAACCCTTCATCACAAGAGAGAAACTGGCCAAAGCTGTGGTAAGCTTTTCAACAGTAAGTAATCATATAATGACCATTTGAATTCAAGCTTAAGCCTCCTAACATCACAGTTCTTCAAGTCTATGCTCCAACAACTGATGCAACAGAACTAGAAAAGAGGGTTTTTATGCCAGCATCCACAAAATCCTAGAACAAGTGTCAGGAAAAGACATTGTTTACATAATGGGCGATTTCAACGCAAAAGTTGGCACTCAGGTAGAGGCAGGCATCATTGGTGATTTTGAACCAGGGGACAGAAATTATGCAGGTGATTGTTTGATACAATTCTGCCATGAAAATTATTTTATAATTATGAACACTTGCTTCAAACAGCACAAACATCACTTGTATGCATGGACTTCACCAAAAGGGCTACACAAAAATCAAACAGACTATGTCCTTTTCAGCCATTGTTGGACTATTCAATCTGTGCTGTGAAGACATATCCAGATGCTGATTGAGGCTTGGATCATGAATTGGTGGCCAAAATGAAAGTGAAATTAACACCAAAAAGGTAACAACACCCAAGAAGTTTGACACCACCAAAATCTCACCCATGTATGCAGTTGAGATAAAGAACAGGTTTGAAATGTTGGAAACAGATGAAAAGTTGCCCGACAAACTATGGCAGGACATTCAATTGAACATTATTGAAACAGCTGTTAAACATATACAGTGGTACCTCGGCTCCCGAACACCTTGGCTCATGAACAAATTGGGTCACGAACAAAAATTACTGAAAAATGTTTGCTTGGGTCGCAACCACTGCTTTGGGTGATGACCAAGATCACAGCCATCTCCCCCCACACCCCTGTGGGGAGATGGCCATGATCGCAGTTCCATTCGTGCAGGGAAGGTGTCTGTGATCAGAGGTGCGCGGCTGCAGGAAAGACGGGAGGAGCAAAGCAGAGCCATGGGGAGATGGCTGAGATTCTGCCTGTCTTTCCTGCAGGAGCGCGCCTCTGATCAGGCACACCTTCCCTGCATGAACGGAACTGCGATTGAGGCCATCTCCCCACCCCCAGTACACCGTTTGCACCCACCTCTCCCTCCCCCAGTGTGCCTGCGATCACGCCCATCTCTCCCCCCACCCCCCAGCACACCGGGATGACGGGTGCCTGCAGGGATGACAGGCATGATCTCGGTCCTACTGGGGGGGGGGGCAGGCGGGGGGGGAGACAGCCACGCTTGTGCTTGGGGTGGGATGGGGGAGATGGCCGCAATCTTTGTTGTTGTCACTTTGCTTCACATTTTTCTGATTTAAAAAATGGTTACAGGACGGATCAACCTTATTTACATTGAACCTTATAGAGAAATTTAACTTGGCTCATGACCAATTTGGGTCATGACCAGAGTCCTGGAACAGATTAAGTTTGTGAGCCAAGGTACCCACTGTACCATATAAAAAGCTAACAGACAAGTACCAGGTGGCTTTCAGATGAAACAATCAAGACAAATAGCCAAAGCAGCAGGTAATCAGGAGGAAGCAAGGAAACTAAATGTGGATTTCCAGCCTGGTAGGATAATGAAACTTACTAGGATTAGAAATGTGCACAGCTAAAGGAGGACTGCAAGAAGGGTTATACAGTGGTACCTTGGTTCACAAACTTATTTTGTTCCACAATTCTGGTTGCGACCCAGATTGGTTGCAAACCAAGTCAAATTTGCCCATAAGGTTCAATGTAAATAAGGTTAGGGTAAACTTTTTTTAATCACAAAAATTTGAAACAAAGTAACAAAGATATAAAGTACAGTAGAGTAGAGAACACTAGCCTAGGTGGGGGATGTTATTGTTTGGAGGGAGAGTTCCCCTTCATAAGGACATCCGGGAGATCTCCTTCCAGGGTTTCCTCTCTTCTTTATCTCTTAGCTGCAGGGTCAGTTTTGGCAAAAAATCTGCACATTCTGGTCACCTTCATTACCGCTCTGCACATACTTTTTACCACCTGCTTGCTCTGCATTTTCTTTGGAACCATTATTCAATATTATTATTGAATACGGTACAATACTGTATGTGCTAAAAAGCACACAAAAAGGCTTCATAGCAAGTGACCACAGGTCTGTCTGTGACCTCGAGCAGGGAAGATGGGCACGATCGTGATCATGTTCGTGTGGGAACATGGCCACGATCATGATCATCACCCAATGCAGAGTTTGTGAACGGAGGCAAAATTTTTGTTCATGAACCAATTTGGTCATGAACTGAGGCATTCATGAACCGAGGTACCACTGTACCAGGAATGCATATGCACAAGTTAAACAAATTCAAACAGCTTTTAGTGCACCCAAAAAAATAATTTAAAAAAAGAAGGGAAAGAACTGACTGATCAACAAAACATCAAGAACAGAATACACTGAAGAGCTATACACCAAAAGCAGCAGAATTGAACCGCATCAGGATAATACGGAGAATGAAACTGAGATAGAAATAGAACCAGCCATTCTTGAGGAAGAAGTAGTAGTATGAGCAATAAGTCAGCTGCCAAACAATAAAGCACCAGGCATTGACAACATCCCTGCAGAGTTGCTGAAGCATGTACCAATCAGAACCATAATAGTTTTATGCCAGTAAATCTGGGAAACCAACACATGGCCAGAGAATTGGAAGCACTCAATCTTCATTCCCATTCCAAAAAAGGGTGATTCAAAGGATGTTCTAACTACCACACAATTGCCCTCATACCTCATGCTAGCAAAATTCTCCTTAAAATTATACAACAGTGCCTGGCATCTATCATAGCAAAGGAACTACCTGAAGTCCAAGCAGGCTTCCAAATGCTGAAGTAATCATGAGGAAGATGGATCTTGAAGAATCAAAAGTCGAGATAAAGATCAGAGGAAGAACCAGCAACAACTTTTAATATGCTGATAGCATCACCACATTGATGAATTTGAACCTATGGTTCTGTATGTTATTTATGCAGTAAATGAAAGACATTTTGCCAGCCTGGCATTTATTGACAATTAATTTCAGTGAGTGTTCTAAGTTTATTTATTTATTTAAAACATTTATATGCCATCCTTTATGAGGTCTCAGGACGACTTACAACATTAAAATCGAGAACAATGATAAAAACAATCCATAGGCAATAACAATAAATAGGGATAATAGTTAATAGAAATACAAACAGATAAAATTAAATAAAATAAATAAAAGAAAGCGACTGTTACCTTCTAAAATCAGTGGTTCTTAGTGTTTGAATAAAAAGGTTTTCACCTGGCACCGAAAATAACACAAACTTGGCGCCAGGCAAACCTCTCTAGGGAGCGCATTCCACAGTCTGGACGCCACCAGAGAAGGCCCTACTCTAAGTAGATGTCCTCTTTACCTCATTCAAAGAGGGTTCCTGGAGCAGGACCTCTCCCGCAGATCTTAAAGTGGGGGGGGCATGTAAAGAAGGAGATGTTCCTTCAGGTATCCTGGTCCCAAGCTATTCAGGGCGAAATAGATTAATACCAGCACCTTGAATTGGGCCTGGACTTCAATTGGAAGCCAGTGGAGCTGGTAGAGGATCAGTGTTATATGAGGATAACGACCGGTCCCTGTCAGCAACCTGGAAGCTCTATTTTGTACCAGCTGAAATATCCAGACCATTTTCAAGGGCAGCCCAGCATAGCGTGCGTTACAATAATTCAATTGGGAAGTTACCAGGGCATGTATCACCATTGCTAGGCAGTGCTCATCCAGGTAAGGGCACAGCCGATGGACCAGCCCAAGCTGGAGGAAGACACTCCTTGCCACCACCGTCACCTGGGTCTCCAGTGACAGCTCTGGACCAGGGAGCACTCCTAAGCTGTGGATGACGTCCTTTAGAGGGAGTGCTACCCCTTACCTGAAAGCCCAAACCACCTACCAACAGGACTTCTGTCTTACCAGGATTAAGGCTCAGTTTATTGGCCCTCATCCAGCCCATTACTTTGGCCAGGCACTGGTTCAGTACAACCACTGCCTCACCTGGAGTAAACTAGAGGTAGAGCTGGGTGTCATCAGCGTACTGATGGTTCTGCAGCCCAGACCTCCAGATGACCTCTCCCAGCGGTTTCATGTAGATATTAAAAAGCATGGGGGACAAAATAGAGCCCTGCAGAACCCCATGGCAAAGCTGCTATGGTGCAGAGCTATAGTCCCCTAGCACCACCTTCTGGAATCGGCCAGGTAGGAGAGGAACCACCAGCAGAGCCTCCAACTCCTAGCCCAGCCCGCCTATCCAGAAGGATACCATGGTTGATGGTATCAAAAGCCAATGAGAGGTCCAGAAGAACCAACAGGGACGTACTCCCCCTGTCCCTCTCCCTGCACAGGTCATCGTACAAGGCAACCAACGCAGATTCAGTACCATAACCAGGTCTGAAACCAGACTGAAATGGGTCCAGATAATCAGTTTCATCCAAGAGTACTTGGAGTTGTCCCACCACCACCCACTCCAGCACCCTGCCCAGAAACAGGATGTTGGCCACCAGTCTATAATTGGCGGCCACCTCTGGGTCCAGGGATGCCTTCTTCAGGACAGGTCAGATCACCACCTTCTTTAAAGAGGGGGAGACCCGACCCTCCCTCAGTGAGGTGTTGATAACTTCCTGGACCTAAGGACCAATCCTGTGATTGGCTTTTGTAAATAGCCAAGAGGGGCAAGGGTCAAGCAAACTGGTGGTAGGGCGTAACATCCCAAGCACCTTGTCCACTTCCTCAGGCCGCAACAGCTGAAGCTCATCCAATAATGATGGACCAAATGGCAATCTGGACGCTTCCCATTCTGGAATCATATCAACTGGTTAAAGGGTCAGGCAGACCCTGAGAGGGGATTGGATAAGGGAACAATGGGGGCAAGATTAAGTGAAAAAGAGAGAAAAAAGCAGGATTGTGTGTGTGTTGCTGCCTGCCTGCATGTGGGAGCAGTCACCCGGTGCATTTGCTCAGCTGAATAAAGGAAACTAAAATGAATCTCCACCTTGCTGAACCTTATTGGCATTTGGTTTAGGGGTCTGTAAGTCACCTGGCTAGCAGGGACACCAACAAAAGCTCCTCAGACATATTAGGATTTCATCAAAATAAGCATTTGATCTTTTTATGCTCTTGTTCTATAAAATTTACATAGAAGTACATCTCACTGAAAAAACTTCTGAGTGAGCATTTTTAGGACCCAGATTGTCGTGCATTAAGCCCCGACAGAAACAGTGACTCATGAGGAGGCCTTGCACTTGACACCCAGTGCCCAAGAGTTGACCCCACAACCCAACGCAGGGACAGCTAAGCCAGTTGCTGCGTCTTCCTCTGACCCCCAGCACGTTGAGCAAACACCTGGACCTTTATCAGAGACAGAGAGTCATGAGAAAGAGGAAGCTGCAAGTTCTACTCAGAAGGAGGCAGAGCAAACTGCCTCTTCTCCCTCTGATGCTGATCTCCCTGAGCCAGAAACAGAAGACACAGTAGGTGTCGTGGATTTCTCAAAAGCCGAAAACAGACGGATTTTACATAGATATGAACAGTGGCAAAATTTATTATGTAAGAGGGAGGAAAGGCGTGACTTGGGAGAGTGATCCCACGTGGGCTTGGGAAGAGAAGCCATTAGAGTGTTAACACCTGCTTCGCAAGGACCGCTATTAGGGAACTTATCTATAGAGTTGTAAATCTTGTAGACAATTAGCATTAAAGGATTTTAGTTTTATTGCTCTAGAATGTGTGGATTGTTTACATACCAGGCTGCACGCCTCGACATAGATGCAGTTGCTCCTTCTTTAGGTTTTTGAGCTAATATTTTAGATAGGGTAACCAGAGCTATACATATTAGCCCCTCAAAATGTGTGTACATCAGACTTTACACAATGACATTTATACTTGCTGTTTTTCAATGCTTGAAAAGAATAAAAACAAGTTCCTGAAATACATTAGAACTGGTTTCCAAACCATTTTTAATGTACTTTTTTAAGTAGCTTGGGTGAAAACTAGAATCACACAGAACTAATCCTTGTAAGTTAGTCTTCTAAGACACGGACAAACTTTAGTGCTCAGCTGCTCATGTGGGAATGGAAAAATAAGTTCTGACGCCCCCTTCCTGTGTACAGTGCAGTTGGCTTCATTGAGTCTGGGTCAGCCTGGTACATGGTAAATTTTCCTTCTTTTGTTGATGTTCTTCATTGATAAACTGAAGGGAAACTGAAACTAAGACTGATAACAATTAGTTTTACTTTCTTCAGAGAAGTGCATTGTTTCTTCTCTTGAGTTCAGGAAGAAAGAAGTGTTTGCAGATTTTTTTAGCCACTTAGTGCTTGTGGTTATTTAGAGCTAAGTCATTACACTGAAACATAAGAAAACTAGCATGTGGCCTCACTGAAGGAAGAAAGGCAACTGGTAAATGTAGCTGGTGTAAGCTGAAGTATGTTAATAATAGAACAAGAATGAAAAACCATATAAAAACATGTAGAAACTGCCTGGAAAAAATGCAAGACATATACATGAAGCTACTACATAGAAATTGTGTAATTCGTTATTTAGAGCATTGGAAAAATGTCTAGGTCTACTTTTTCCAGAAAACTCACACCACAGCTTTCTTTATAACATAATATTAAAATAACATAACTGAATAACAAGCATTCCAGTACCCCAGTCCATCATGAATCATGTTATTTCCATACCTAATGTGTGCAAAAGATTCTTTCCCAAAGTACATGCATGTCTATAATAATTGCTAAATCAATTAACAGGTGTGCAAGAGCATCTATACAGGTTCAGTGGATGACCCATGATCCAGTAGATAAGAAATACAATGCAACAAGAAATAAATTTTCCTCTTATCTTTCATAACACTTTTTTTTCTGTAGTCCTCTTTATTTGTAACACTGCTATATCGCGCCACATCTAAGCAGATTTTGGGTGCAATCCTACATATGGTTAGACAGAAAAAAGACCTACAACTCCCTGTATTCCCCAAGCAGCCATGTTTTTCTGTCTAAATGTGTGCAGAATTGTGTCCTTTTTCACTTAAGCTTTTAACTCAGCTTGACAACTCAGTCAGAATTCACTTCTACAAGACTGTACACTCAGGCTGGCTACATTTTCTTCCTCCATTTCAACAATTGTTTGTTTTTCGTCTTTGCTGTAAAAAACTTAGGGTGAACGTTTATTTCATTGAGAGAAAGAAAATAAAGGCATACTCAGAGACAGTGAAGGAATCGGGAGAAAAACTGCTCCTGTAGATCCCCTTGCAGGGTTTACTTCCATTGAATGGCATCCCAGATTACGGCCCACTTGTTTTGTGCCACTGAGCACAACAGAAGCGATTAAGAGCTCCTCCTGCCTACACGGCGCTCAGCCTAGATTCTATGCCAGCCCTGAGTGACACTGACACACACACGTAAGAAGAGATCAGAGTTCCCCAACTTGGTTACCCTGCAAATTATTACAACTTTCAACAACCCCGACTGGGAGGCAGACCTAACACATAAATAAACGTGTATCGCTCAACCTAAGTCGGGAGAAAGGAGGAGGAGAGATAATATAACACATTAGAGAAAAAAAGAAGGAGGCTTGCTAAGGCATCCAACTCACCTGGATAGCTTCTGCACTCCTCGCGTCCTTCTTCAGCAATCAAACTTCCCGCGCTTCTCCCTAGAAATTTCGGAGCACCGCCTCCGCAGAAGTGCTTCCGCGCCTGTTCCTGACGTCACTTCCTGCCATGCCCTAGTGGAGTGGGACTGGTGTTTTGCTGGCGGGGCGGGGAAGAGAACCTTGTGTTTGCTGCTGCTTTTATAATTATGGGCAAGAAGCACAAGAAGCACAAGGCAGAGAAAGCAGAATGGAGGTCGACGTCCGCGCCGGTCGTCAGCGCCGCTGGGACTGGCGCCGCTGGTTATGACGGTGCGTTGGGCGGACGGGGACCAAAGGAAAGGACCTGGGCGGGAGCAGGAGGACTAACGGAGGGCTTTGTCCCCTCCACTCGCTGGAGCCTTTCGTTTCCTCTTCAAAGTCCCTGTGGGAGGCAGCTTCCTTACACCTCACACGCCTCCCTCGGTAGCCGCCGCCGCCTCCCTCATTTCACTCCCGGTTCTGTCTTTCCCGTTAATCTGGAAATTCCTGTCAAATTAAAGCATCACACGTGACGTAGCAGCAAACCCGTATTTGCTACCCCGAGCGTACCCACGATAAGGCAGCATGCACTTTTTCGGTTGTGTGTAAAGCAGTGAGTGAGGGTTTGGAAGGGATTTCAAGCAAGTACGGGAAAGATTTGTCCTTGCGCTTGTGGGCTGCATCTCCTATCAGGCCTAGCCAGTACGACCATAGGTAGATGCAACTCACGGGAGTTGCAGCCCAACTGTATTTGGAGGGCCACATTGTCCCCATACAGCTTTGGAAAGCAACTGAGATGTAACCATCAGAGTTCCTAAAACTGGACTAGGAAATGGCTGAGGTAGTCAAAATCATCTGCAGAGCTTAGTCACTTACCTCGGACCATTTATCTGTCAACCTAATCCAACCTCATGGTCTGATATCTATCAGTATATACTTATCTAATTGAACTTTATTTGCCACATTAATGTCCATTTCCCCTTTATGGAGAGTGGTATTTTTGTTTTTAATTCTCTACAATTCGTTTTTTGTTTTTACCAATCTGAATCATTAGGTATTATCAGCGGACTTGGTCCCCTCATTGCTTACTCCAGATCACTTATGAACAAGTTAATAACTACTGGTCCCAATATAGATACGTCAGAGTTTGCATTGTTTGCATCCTGCCATTGCAATAACTACCATTTATTCCTATTCTTTGTTTCCTGTTGTTTAACTTTTTACTAATTCAGAAGAGAATATGACTTCTTATACCAGTTTGTTTGGAAGCTTTTGGTGATGAGTTTTCTCACAAGGTGTTTAGCAGCCTAAATAGCTAAAATAGAATCATCCTAAATACAAATACAAAATTTAGAATCATCGTAAATACAAAATAGCCAAAATAGAATCATCATCATTCAGTCAGAAAACTCTAAGAACTTAGTAGCTGAGGTTTCCAGAAGCCATAATAACTCTTATTTTCAGCAAGATTTTCTTTCTAGATGGTTTATAATTTTTAATTGTGCTCTCCACCAGTTTATTGAGAACAAATGTTTTGTTGGTTGACCTATAATTTCCCTCTTTTCATCTAGATTCCATTTTCTTGGCCACTTTCGATTCATCAGGTACAAATCTTAAGGACAAGTTATATATTTTTGTTAGATCATCAGCACTTTCATATTTGCTCCTCAGCACTTGGGTAGATACTGTCGGGACAGTGATTTGTTAATGTTTAATTTGTCAATAAGAACAGGATTTGGGAGTGACTTTAAACCTAGGGGCTGACTTTATTTTCACTGAGGGCCATATACTAGTGAGGGGAACAGCCAGAGTAAGATAGGTAGGGCCAAACATCTCTTCTATTTTAGCCTAAATACAGGCATTTTAGCAATCTATGATAAAGGAAAAACTGCACAGAAGCTGGAATATTAGCAAATGATCTGTGGTTGAGGAGAAGGGCATATAGCCATCTAGGGAACCCTGAACAGCTGGATTTGGATCCCAGAATTGGGTTCTGGAGCTTGAGGGTGCTCATTTCTGTCCTAGAACTTAATCTTTTGTCACTGCAGTTTGCTTCACTTGCTCAGATTCCCTTCCTGAAAGCTGAGGCACAGCTGTCAGCTCTGCATCTTCTAGAATGAATTCAGTTTCTCTGCAAGCTATAAGTTCTGTGAATTGAGTTCATGTGAGCTGCATTGATGTTGCATGTTTGTGTGCTATATCTTAATTTCTGCTTGCTTTTAATTAGATTATGTGGATAAGCCCTTGGAGAAGCCATTGAAACTGGTATTGAAAGTTGGAGGCAGTGAAGTCACAGAGCTTTCAGGGTCAGGACATGATTCCAGTTATTATGATGATAGATCAGACCATGAGAGAGAACGGCATAAAGAAAAGAAGAAGAAGAAGAAGAAGAAATCTGATAAAGACAAAGAAAAGCATCTCGATGATGAAGAGAGACGGAAGAGAAAGGTGAACAGTGACTTGGCTTATTTTCAGACTTGTCTGTCCAGTTCTTAAAGGCTATTTTATTACACTTTTGTTAGCCGTAAGTGTCAGTGGCCTGGTTTACAAATAACTTTAACCCATAAGTTGTAGCCCTACTGGAGTTTAGAACAAACCATGGTTTCTGGTCTCAGTTCCAGAGTTCATGACCCAGCGGTAAACTGTAAGCTTTGTTTCTGGTTAGCAGACCATGGTTAGAACATAAGAAAAGCCATACTGGATCAAATCAAAAGTCCATCTAGTCCAGCACTCCATACATATAGTGGCAAATCTGCTGCCCACAGGATTGTTCAAGCAGGATGACTACAAAACCTCCCATCTGCCCAAACTCCCAGCAGCTGCTGTATGCAGCATGCCACCTCTGGTAAAGCATGTAGCACATAGCCAGCAAGGCAGGTAGCCCATGTGGCTGCATTCACACATCATAGCTACCCAGGATTCAAGCCAAATTATGAGGTTATCATTCATGTGTAGGCTAGGCAAATATTTCAGTGAATACGTATTTGTGCTGCAGTTGTAGATTTGTTTAAATTTCTGTGGAGGTTATAAACTGAATTTGAGTGAGAATTTAAGAGTCCAGAATATGAAGTAAAAGTCATTACCTAAAGCTGCACATATATTAGGCCTGCAGCCTTTGCTGTAAAAGCTAATGAAAAGGACTCCTGATTAATTGTGCAGCATTTAAAAACATTTTAATTGTAAGTGCTTCTAAAAATTGAAGGTACTGACTTAAGAGACAAAAGCAGGGAGTATCTCCCCTGGGATGGCACCTGCTGAAATATATACATGGACCATCTAAAGACAAAGGACATATGTGTTTTTCCTTCAAAATTATTAATCTGGAGATCTGCTCAATTAAGGGCACAACCCTGTTGTCTAGAGAGCCATATGAGACTTTCCCAGCTCTAACCTTAGGAACTTGAACTCTGAGCACCCTCACTCCAGTCTTCAGCTGTGGCTCCAGGGTTTCAAGCATAATGACAGAAAGGTGTGTTGTGGACATTCTGGGTAGTCGGGAGGAGAGGAGGCAGGGTTTGCCATCATGCATAGTATCTTGGCATTGTCTCAGTCTTTCCCCCTTGTGCCCCAGGACAAAATATTCAGCCTGCTGAAGTGAGCATCTATGTGTTTTGCACAGAAGAAGAAGCATGGATGTGACCTATGCCTTCTCATTCCACTCTCTGTAGGATGCCTGTAATCCTTTGGGTTTGGAGGGTTCTGGGAAGCCACACTGGATTGTGTTGTAAATTATTAAAATTAATACCAATTGACTAAGATTTCTTAATTTGAGTGTTAAGTCTAATATATCTTGAGTACTGGCAGCCCTACTCTGTGGCAAGCTTTCACATGCTGGCAGCAGTTTCCCTGTGCACCAAGACAACCAAATGCTACTGGTTTTTGTATCTCTGCATTAGGAAATTCCATGGTGTAAAGATGCTTGAGTTCTCCCCAGTGATCCTCACTTGGCTTCTTGCAGGAAATATTTAAAGTAGCTAATGGAACTTTTTTTTTCGAATAAGTTTTACTCTAAATAAACCTAATACAAAAAAAAACTAAATACAACATCAATCATTGGAAACATCGAACCTACTGGGTCAGCCCCCCACATTTTTTCTTTTTATGTTAACTTATGAACATATTTAAATCTATGCGAAGCCCCGTTTTTCTAGCCTTAATAAAAAGAGTCCCAAGTTTGATAGTTCTTCTTCCAAGTTTGATAGAACTTCTTACTCCTTCAGTGACAAAGTCAATCTGTCCATTTCTGCACAGTCCAAGATCTTTTTTAGGATCAGTTCATCGGTGGGTGACTCTTCACTCTTCCAGTGTTGGGCAAATGCAATCCTCACCGCAGTAATTACATGTAAAATCAGGTACATTGCTTGTTTACTAATATTGGGTATAATGCCTAATAAGAAAACTTCAGGTTTAAAAGCTAGAGATTTTTGTAACATTTCCTCAAGCCATTTATGCATTTTAATCCAATGCTTTTTCGCTTTATCGCAAGTCCACCACATATGATAGAAGGTACCCAGTTTATGTTTACATTTCCAACATCCGTTTGACATATTTGGAAACATCTTGGCTAGTCTATTTGGCAACAAATACCATCTATAAAACATTTTATACAAGTTTTCTTTATATGAAGTTGCTAATGTTACCTTAATATTTCTCTCCCACAGCTTTTGCCACTTTTCTAACTCAATATTATATCCAAAGTTTTATGCCCACGTTATCATAGTTTCCTTAACCTGTTCATCTTCCATTCTCCTATCTAGTAAGAAATTATATAATCTTTTAATCATTTTCTCATCCGATTTAAGCATCACCTGCTCAAATGCTGTTAAGTCCTTATAAAAGCCCCACATTCTATAGTCTTTAGCGTATCTCGATTGTATCTGCACCTTATGCCACCAAGAAATATTAGTTCCTTGTTCTTGTATTTCTTGATTCAATTTCAGTCCTCCCATCATTATCCAAAATGTTATCATATCTTACGATTGCTTCGAAATTCAATGCATTTGGATATACAAGAGCTTCCATAGGTGAAAGCCATCTTGGTAATTTATTACACAGTTTTGTCTTTAACTTTTCCCTCACCGACATTAATGATTTCCTAATATAATGACTTAAAAAACAACCATGTGCCTTACACTTTTCATATCACATATAAGCATTCCAACCCATTTGCCCTTTGAGATACTTTAAGATATTTCTTAAAGTTATCCATTCTTTTAGCCACATTAAAACAGAAGCTTGATAATACAGCATCCAATCATGAAGACCAAAACCCCCATTCTCTTAAGCCTCCTGAAGTATTTTTAATTTAATCCTTGGTTTCTTCTTTCTCCATATAAATCTCGAGATTTGAAAATTTAAATCATCAAAAAAATTTTTATCAATTTTTATGGGAATTATTTGAAATAGAAACAAAAGCTTTGGTAATATATTCATTTTAACTAGCGCTATTCTTCCCAGCAAAGATAATTGCAAATTAGCCCATTTTTCCAAATCACTCTTAATTTCCTTAAATAGTTTATCATAGTTGTCTTCTTTCAGAGTGGTACACTTAGTTGTAAGTAAAATTCCCAAATATTTAACCTTTTTAACAATTTGAAAGTCTACTTGTTCCACCAGAGTTTTACTCTGCTCCTGTGTGATTTTTTACTAACAATTTCATCTTTTCTCTGTTTATTTTCAGCCCAGTAACCTTGCCATACTCTTCAATCCTTTGTAGGAGTTTAGGCATTGTTACTAAGGGTTCCTCAATTATGAGAACTAGGTCATCTGCAAATGCTTACAATTTACAGCTTTCATCTCTAATTCTAGTGCCTTTAATGTCCATATTGTCCCTGATATTTCTGTTTAACACTTCTAGGATCAATATAAACAACAGTGGTGATAGCAGGCATCCTTGTCTTGTACCCTTTTGTATATCTATAGTATTTGTAAATTCTACATTGATTATAATCCTAGCAGACTGCTTTTGATAGATGCTTCGTATCGCATTAATGAATTCACCAAACTCCATTTGAACTAGTTGTTGCTTCATAAATTGCCAATTAACATTGTCAAAAGCCTTCTGTGGGTCTATGAATAACAGTGCCATTGGTTTTTCCGTGTGCATCTCATAATACTCTAAGATGTCCAGGATAGTTCTCATATTATTCCTCATTTGTCTTTTAGGTAAAAAACCATTTTTATCTGAGTGAATAAAGTCTGTTAAATACTTCATCAATCTTTCTGCCAAAATGAGGCAAAAATTTTGTAATCCACATTTAATAGTGATATAGGTCTATAGTTTTGAATCTGTGTCAAGTCCGTGTCTTCTTTCGGTATTAATGTAATATTTGCCTCTGTCCAAGTATTTGGTATTTTAGCATCTAACAATGCTGCATTGCATATATCCTTAAGAAGCGTAGAGAAGATTCCTTCAAAGGATTTATTAAACTTTGCTGGTAGCCCGTCCGGGCCTGGAATTTTGTCATTCTTTTGTCTCTTAATTGCCTCAATTACTTCTGTGATTGTTAATTGTTCATTCAATACTTTTTGGTATTTCTTCGGTAGCTTTGGCAGGTCTCCCTTTTGGATATTCATTTACTTTCTCAGTTGAAACCTCATCATTCTGGTACAGCTTTGCAAAAAAGTATTCCGCTATTTTTTAGTAAGTATACTTTGTACTTGCAGTCATCCTTCCCCATCCTTCAGTTTACTTAGAAACCTACCTCCCTGAAAGTTTAATGTCACTAAAGTGCTTACTAATTTTAATAAAGGTCATCTTCATTGTTATGCAGTTGTTATATTTGTGCATGAAGATCTTAGACTGACCATGTTTATCATAATTTTGCTTTTTGGTATAAGGAAGAAAAGAAAAGAAAAAGGGAGAAGGAACATTGTGATACTGAGGGTGAAATGGATGACTTTGATCCTGGAAAGAAAGTAGAAGTTGAACCACCTTCTGATCGTCCAGTTCGGGCCTGTAGAACTCAACCTGGTGGGTAATCAAGATGAATTCTGTCTAAGTGGCAGTGTAGCAGACATCCATTTATCAGTGAGATTTGAAACTGCTTTTCTCCAAAGGTACTGTGTTAAATGATGTGCACACAGAAAGTATGTTTGTGTGTAGGTGTAAATTTCCACTACGTCCGGCCTTCTCTTGGTTCCTTTCATTTATTTAAGAGATAGTTTATTCATTAAGGTCGAAACACATGTTAATCTTGTATTATCCTTAATGTTCCACTTCTGTTTAAGGGGCCAGTATACAGAAACAAGACCAGTAGTAGTTTCATTCTACAGGCATAGCCTTTTTACTGTTTTAGGTCTGTGATATACAAATGACAGGATCTGTCAAAGAAGTAATCACTTGTTTTTCCTTATATTGAACTATAGCAGAAAATGAAAGCACACCTATCCAACAATTACTGGAACATTTTCTTCGTCAGTTACAAAGGTAAGTCTATAATACAGCAATTTGTGGATAATTGTTGTGTTGAATTTTCAAAACTGTATGTGACCTTTATGATTTAAGGGAATCAGTTCAGATTGAATCTGCTATCCTTGCCAGTTAAGCAGCTTTTGAATGTCATGTCCATAAGTCTACTGCTTCAAATGGAGGTGGCCCAGTATTAAGGGCAAAGCAGATGTGAGGGAGTCATTCAGCCATCTTCTCTCTATAGCTTGCTCCCCTGCAGACTCCTCTAGTACCTCTTTGTTGATTTGTTGTTATTGAACATACATTGTAAATTTATGGTGATACAAGGATCAGTTTCTAGTTTTGTCTGAGTGCCTTTCAACCACCTCCCATGGAAGCCCATTCCATATTCTCAGGGTTCTAACTGTCAGGAAGTGCTTCCTGGCATCTAAATGAAACCTTGGTTCCCTGAGCTTTGTTAGAGCATGTCCTGCCTTCCTCTGCAGGGGAGAACAGGTCTCTACTCACGTCCATGTGACACTGCCTCACATACCTGTATGTCGCCAACAGATCCTCTAGGAGTCTCCTCCAGGCTGAAAAGATCCAGTTCCCTCAGTCTCGCCTTATACGGCTTCCCCTGCAATCCGGCCACCAACCTTGTGGCCCTGCGCTGCACTGACCCTAATCTGGCAATATCCTTCCTGTAACGAGGGGCCCAAAACTGAACACAATACTCCAGTTGCGGATGCACCAGAGTCGTACAGAGTGGTAGTAATACCTCTCTCGATCTAGAAGCCACACTTCTGGCTATGCAAGCAAGGGTGGCGTTCACCCTCTTAACCCCCGCATCACACTGCTGACTCATATTTAGCCCGCAGTCAACCAGCACCCCGAGGTCCCTTTCACAAGTGCTGCTCTCCAGCCACTTGTCACCTAACCTGTACTTATGACAGCTATTCTTATGCCCCAAGTGCAAGACCCAATTAGCAAATTAGTACTTGCTAATAGGAATGATGATGCCTTGAACATAAATTCTTGCAATGCTGTGGGTATATGAATAGAGAAATGTCTCTTTAGTGCTGGCATAGCCTTATGTTAGTATATGGTACCATTTCTGAATGCCTTGTAATACAATCCTGTGCATGTCTACTCAGAAGTAAGTCCTGTTGAATTCATTGAAATGACTTCCTTTTGGCCCCATGGGCACATTAAAAATTGAGATAATATTAATGTTCTTTTTATATCATCCAGCAGCCAAATAATGCATACAATACAAAATACAAAAATAGTATAAAATCTGAATATAAAATTTAAAAAGAATTGTTGTGGGTGCAAGCATAAACTGGCTTCCATGGTGGTCCCTGCTCTACAGAACTACCCAATCCAACTAAAGTTAGATTTGTGCACACAGAGTTACACAATCACTTGTGCATTCTGCTTGTTCACAGTGTTGCCCATAATGGTTGTACAAGCATAATGAGCAACTGCTTGCACAGCAGAATGATTCAGTAGAACTCTGGTAGCATGGAGTTTGTGAAATGAAACCACTGGATATTACTCTTGAGAAATTAAGATGATGGCAGCTAGATGATCCTGTTTCTCAGAACAATCCCAGATGCCTGTAAGACAATATAAAAATTGGGAGTTCAGTGTCTCAGTGCACACCAAAGAAGGTATCTGGGGGAAATTGGTGCTCAAGAGTGCCATGTTGTCTACCTTGGGATATGGGATTGCAGACTTATTCTAATAACTACAGCTAAGCACCTGGGAATGATGCTTTCGTGCATCCATTTCCAATGTTGTAGTTGTAGATCATTGTCTAAAAATGCTGATTCTCTTGGATGAATATATGCATCAAATTTGCGTTGGCAAATGTAGAAAAAAAGAAAATAGTTTTCTTGGTTTTTTTAAAGACAGGACAGTTAATGTTGCATAATTAATTTAAAGTGGCCCTTATAAAATGACTGAAGTCCCAAACATAATATTAAATACCTATTTCTATTTTTAGGAAAGACCCTCATGGGTTTTTTGCTTTTCCGGTCACAGATGCCATTGCTCCTGGATATTCAATGATAATAAAACATCCTATGGATTTTGGTACAATGAAAGAGAAAATTTCAGCAAATGAGTACAAGTCTATAACAGAGTTCAAGGTGAATTAATAGAGATCTGGGGGATTTTTAATAATACTAATATGAATTGCTAAATTTTGTATTCCATATGATGGAAATGAAATTATTTTGTATAAGTTTGTGTACAAATAGCGAGAAATGTATTCATGCATTGGCCTGTCAGGAATGGATGACAAAAAGACTAATAACTTTTTCTGCTGTAGGAGGAGAAGGTCCTTTTGTTCTGCCTTCTAGGGAACAGCAGGATGCCAAACTTGCTCCTCAGCTACTTTTGTGGCATGTAAAAAAATAAAGTGAGCAGAACCTCCTTTCAGTCTTTCTCTACCTTATTCCAACTTCAGTCAGTCAGTGACAAGGAGGACTAGTTTTTTGAAATTGCCCCTCTGTCTCCTGGGGCAGCCACTCACTTAAGCTGCCCAAGCACCAGTAGGAAACTGGAGCACTTAGCATTCCTTGCCAAACTCCATTACAGCTTTGCAAAAGGGCCAGTTGGTACTCCATCCTTCATCAGCACCATTTCTTCAGAACAAGGAAGCTGTTTTAATGCACCAAAGGAGTTGCATATGTTGCTAGGTGAGGGAGGGCCCCCCACGTGCAGTAATTCTCCATGTTGCTGAGGCAAATTGGCAGCTATTTTGGCAGTGGCCCAATCAGAGCAGAGCACTCTTTTTCCTGCTGTCTTCCTTGTAACCAGAGTCCTAGCAATCCCCTTTCAGGAAAACTCTTTAAATTTCTGGATCAGTTGTGGGTGTCCTGTGTAGAAGGTAAGGAGTGGTGGCAACATAAAAAGCACTATGTTAGGAGGAGGTCTTCCATGTTCGATGCATCATTTGTCCATCTTCCTTTCCTCATGAGTTTCAGACCCCAACTCAAAACATGGAGTGGAACCAGGTGCCCCTGGGCAGACAAACTCAAGAAATCCAAGTTGGAGAGAAGCTGAACAGCCAGTCATTGCCATGCAGGGCTCCCCCTCCTAAATGCCAAAGCTGGCCTGAGAACAGGATGGTTCTCAGTACTGTGTTCTATAGGAGGAGGTGAACCTGCTCCCAACATAGAGCCACCTGATCTCACTCATAGCACATTACAACAAGGGGTAGTTGAACATCCAGGGAGACTGGTTGAAGCATTCAGTGATGCAGCAAGGGGGCATGATATCTTCATTACAATTTTGCTCAATGGATTTCTGGCACTCGTGTAAAACCTGTTCATCTGCCAATGCCAAAACCAGGAATATCTTGCCAGACATCAAGTTCCATGAACAGAAGTGATGGATATGATGTGTGTGTTCTGGCCTCCAGGGCCACTGTATGTTTTCCTCCCTTTCCATTACTTTCTACAGTTCTGCTCATGCAGAGCATGAAGTTTCTGAAGGCACAGGTGGTATTAATTTGATATTGGCTATCAAGTTCATGGTTTGCAGACCTTTAGGAATTCTACATGGGGATTTCCTATGGATCTGGATCTGCTAAGGGAGATTCCAGTTTGCCAAATGGAACTGACCACATGAAGGTTGAATGCCACTACTTCTTGGGGACTGGACTGTCAGAAGGTGTAGTCAAGACCATGTTAGCATCATGGAAATCTTCACTGAACAAAATTTATCAAATCTAGCTTGTATTCCAAGCATTGAATATTGCCTAACTTTACTGGCCATGCAGAGTTGCTCAGTTTCTTTCAAGGAGGTCTGGGCCAAGTTCTTTCAGACAGCAGTTTAAAAAGCCCAGTAGCAGCTTTGAGTATTGTCCTAGGTTAGAACATACACTGGACTTGGACAATCTACTCTAACAGTTCCTTAAATTTTCCACTTGGAACTTCACCATGTTCTTTGAGTCAGTAGGCACCATCTGAGGGAATTTCAAACTCTGTTGTTAGTGATCCTACAATGAGTTAGAAAGGTGTGGAAGATTTGTGCCCTGGAATGGCATCATGCTGTTTCTATGCAGATTGGGTGGTTCTGAAACAAGATCTAGCTTTTATTCCAAAGCTAATTACCAGTTTCTGTAGGGTCCAAGAAGTAGTGTTACTGAATTTCTGCCCCAAGCCAGTTGATCCTAAGGAAAAGGAATGATACAGCTTGGATGTTTATAGGTCTCTCAAAGTGTTATTAGATGGTCTGTTTTGGGCCCCTCATTACAGAAAGGATATAGCCAGGTTAGAGTCAGTGCTGCATAGGGCCACAAGGTTGGTGGCCGGTTTGCAGGTGATGGGGTTTGAGGCGAGACAGGGAACTGGGTCTCTTCGGCCTGGAGAAGAGGAGACTCTCAGGGGATATGTTGGGGACATACAGGTATGTGAGGAGATGTCACATGGAGATGGGTAGAGACCTGTTCTCCCCTGCAGAGGAAGGCAGGATGCGCTCCAACGGAGCAAAGCGCAGGGAACCAAGGTTCCATTTAGATGCCAGGAAGCACTTCCTGACAGTCAGGACCCCGAGGGTTTGGAATGGCTTCCACGAGAGGTGATTGAGGCCCCATCGGTGAGGGTGTTCAAAGATAGGCAGGACATACACATGGTGGGCATGTCGTGAGCGGAGCCGGCTGGAGCCAGGGGTCAGACTAGATGGCCTGTGAGTCCCCTTCTGACTCACTGTGTTTCTGTGTACCAAGGAGGCTACATGTTCAGACAGGTGGTTTGTCTCCTTTTCATTAGGGGCACAGGGTAGAAAAATGTCTGAAAGGGCAGCAAGCTGCTGAGTTAGGCTTGCTTTGTCCTAGTGTACCAGTCCCAAGGTAGCTTGTCTTCAGGTGGTATAACAGCTCAGTCTATCAGCAGCAGAATTTGACATTTGGGTTCCTCTGGAGGATATATGTAAATTGAGAAAAGCCTTCAACCTTTATTTTTCCTGTAAGGTGAATAAGTACACTTCAACAGATGTATCCTTCAGACATTAAGTGTTGCAAAAGGTATTGTAACCTCCTCTTCTCCCACTCCCCTCTTGGGATACTGCTATTATACATCCCATTACTATTGACTCCATCCTCTGCAGTTCAAGAACGGTAAGGGAAACTTCTGAAGTGTCCTGTTCTGAAAAGGGGGACCTGACAGTCCTATTTAGACTCAGATGTATGTGGTTTGGGGGTATCTGACTAGGTGGGATCACTGTATCCTCTAGAAGATGTGATGCCTTACGATTAATTCTCATCTCCTCTCTGTTTGATCCAGTTTTTCTGGGCAGGTTGCATTTTCACTGGGTTGCAATTAAAGTGGTTTTATCTGTTCACAATTATTCTCATGCAAGTGGTTTACAAACATGTACATTTAAAGTGCAGCTGAAGTCAACTGGGGCTGGGGAGGCAGGTAGCAAATCTGGTGACCTTCAGATGTTTATCCCTGACCTTTGCCATGCTGCCTGAGGATAATGGAAGTTCATTAATTATTTGTCCTGGCCTGACTGGCATGTAACCAGAGTTCTTCAAAGAGCATTTGAAAACACACCAATGTTTACATTTGTATTTTCCAGGCAGATTTTAAACTGATGTGTGACAATGCCATGACATACAACAGACCAGACACTGTATACTACAAGTTGGCTAAGAAGATCCTCCATACAGGCTTTAAGATGATGAGCAAAGTAAGACACCTATAAAAGAGAACATTATGAGACCAGCTATTGTAGTAGGTCATACTGAAGTGTTACTTAATCTACTGGTCTTGACTTGTAACAGTGCCCATTGCAGCTGATATATTGAAGAGTATTTGCGCGCGTGTGCTCGCTCGCGCGCGCGCGCTCTCTCTCTCTCTCTCTCTCTCTCTCTCTCTCTCTCTCTCTCTCTCTCTGCATGCATTCTGTTTCAAGAAAAACTGAATTCTACACCTTAAGTGTGTGCAAATTATAGTTTAATTTGCTCTATTCTGCTTCTGCTACTTATTAAAAAAGATAATGAACTGTATGGGCACTGAGCCCCCACACCATCTTGTTTAATCACCCCATTGGCTTCTGAGATTTGCCAGCCTGTGCTCCCACACTTTCAGAACATGTATTTACAATCTTATACTTGATTCTTTAAAATAAAAGCAGGAATCCCACAGAAGCTGAATTCTTGGCCCAGTATCCCATCTTGCACTCCTACAGAAAATGGCATTTCCATAGACTTGGGTAGCTAACGGACTTATGGACATTTGAATTAGAAATCACTGTCCCTTTTCAGCAAATAACCATGCAGTAGGATTTGGTCTTGGACTGGAAATTTTGAACAGAAATTTTCAGTCATGAAATTAACTTGTCCAAATTAATGTTAAGCTCATTGAACATTCTTAAATGGTTTTATAAATGAGTATATTTTAAAATAAGTAAATTCTGAAATTATTCTGGAATGCAAAGAGTATATTTCCTTATTTTTAGAAAATCTCTGCATAAATGATTCAAAGTGAGGCATAGGACTATTTTCCCCTCCTTTAAGTAGGCTGTTCAAATGTTATATGAATTATGAAATGCAAGAATCCCCATAGCTCTGCTTTTAGAAGAACACAGATTTGCCCTTCCCCCAACTTTGCCTCATATATAAAGAAAGGCTAAAGAAAGTACAGTGCAAACATTTACATAAAGCAGAGAAGACCTCAGATCAGTATATGCTGTACATTGAAAGTGTACAAGATCCATTTGAAACTATGAGAATAAAAGGCAATTTACAATCAAGCAATGGATTTATAATATGGACAACCTTGGATGACATCTCCTTCTGCAATATTCTGTTAAGTTCCACATTCAGGTAGGTACCTATTTGCATGTGAAGCTTTTCTTCCTAGGTAGAATGAAGATATTCTGGTGTCATGCTGCCATGACTGAATCATGTTGCATCGTCATTGAAGATTTAGCTCTTAGGCACCAAGCCATGGCCATTCCCATCCCATCCCATCATCATAGCATCTTGGCTATGAGGGAAAGGTGTAAAGTCCCTCCCGCTCTGTCCTTTCTAATTCTAGGAACGGCTGTTAGCTTTGAAGCGCAGCATGTCGTTTATGCAGGACATGGATTTTTCTCAGCAGGCAGCTCTTTTGGGCGATGAAGACCCAGCTGTTGAGGAACCTGTGCCCGAAGTTGTTCCTGTGCATGTAGAAACTACTAAGAAATCCAAAAAGCCAAGTAAAGAAGTTATTAGGTAAAGATTGGATGGAATGCATTATTGTGTTATGCTTCCTAATTTACTTTAAGTCTAGGAATAAGTATTGGTTTTCATACTCAGGGAACCCATTCAGTGTATACTTATTAGCTAGGAAATCTCTGTATGTTGCAGCAAAGTCCCTGTGACTTCAAGAAGGTATGAGAACATACTGTAGGGTGCATAGTCCATGTTGGTGGGTGCAGGCAGGCTGTCCCGTGAATGAATTGGAAGTACACTTCAGAATGCATCTACTGTTCCCCTGTAGTATTGCAGGGGAAAATGACAATTCTGAAGTGAATTAGCAGTGTTTTAAGGAAGCTTATCCACTCCTCCTGATTTTTTCTGGGAAGAACACCAAAATCAAAATCATTAATCATTTAATTCTGACCTTTGTTAAAATGGACAGTCATCTTATTTCATCAATAATTTTGCTGTCAGATAACTTTATAAAGATTACACTTTCACTTCCTTTCGTTTGGCTGTGAACAGTTAATACTAAGTCATTATTTTCCTTCTTTTATATTGTTTTCCTTAAGTATCTGGTTGCAGAGTAGAATATTTTAAGAAAGGGAATCCTATTTTTGAATAATGTCTGAATTGAAGCGAATTAGCGTTTCTGAGAATTCTGTTTATTTACAGCACACTTATGAATTCGCCTCCTCTGCTTCATGGTATCCACACATTTTCCAAGATACTGCAATGGGAGATGTGTGTATTTTATTTATTTATTTAGAACATTTATATCTTGTTCAATACCAAGGGTCTCTGGACAGCAGCATGCATTTATGTACACACACACACACACACACACACACACGAAATATAAACGCACAGTAAAACTAATACAACTGCATTAAACCTGTAAAAATATTTTTAAAAGGTTTAATGGGTTTTAATATTTTTATTGTACAATTTGTTATATTTTGTTCTTATTGTGAGCCGCCCCAAGGCTTTGTTGTGTTGTGGGCGGCATAAAAATGTTTTAAATAAATAAAAATAGGGAAAATAAAAAGGTTGTGACCTGGTGCTGAAATGAATAAAGCATTGGTGCCAGGCACACCTCTCTGGGTAGCAGGTTCCAAAGCTGGGGTTCTACTGCAGAAATAGGTCTTCTCTGGGCAACAGCTCTTCTCTGTCCAGCTCTTCTCTGGACAACTTCTCTTTGTCAAAGAGGGCTCCCGAAGAAGGATCTCAGACAAAGATCTTAGAGGTCGGGCAGGTATATACAGAAGGAGATGCTCCTTAGATACCCAGACCCTAAACCGTTTAGGGTTTTATATGTTATTGTTAACACCTTATTTTGAGCCCAGACTTCAGTTGGTAGCCAGTGCAGATGGTACAGGATCAGTGTTATGTGATCGCATCCACTGGCCCCTGCCAAAAGCCTGCCTGCTCTGTTTTGGACCAACTTAAGTATCCAGACCATCTTCAAGGGCAGCCCCACGTAGAGTGCATTACATTAGTCCAGTCAGGAGTTTACCAGAGCATGAGTTACTGTTGCTAGGCTCTGCTCATCCAAGGACGCAGTTGATTGATATATGTATAGGCTTGAGAGAAAATAAAAAATTAAGAGCATTATTCAAAACCTTTGGACATAAGTCCACAGATTTTCTGTGGTACAGATTTATCTGCCCAGAGGCAAATTGGGAAAATGTGTAGTTGAATCTGAGATCTTTTGTTTATGTTTGCTTTATTTTCTTTTCTTTTGTTTACTTTCTGTTTGCTACCTTGGGTCTTCCATGTTAAAAATAAATGAGCAGAGAAACTTATATTTGTCTGTAAGGATATTAAGCAAGTTCACTAATTTAATGGTCATGACAATAGTATGCTACCCTGCAAATATGCTAGGCAGTGCAGGTTGTTTGCAGAACCAACAGTTTAGTTGACATGCAGTTGGGCTCAGATTGACTTGTTCTCCCCATCCCTAAGTCTGCCAGACAGTATCCCAGTGTTGTTCATGACAGAACTCAGATGTTCCTACTTTTCCACTCTGATTGCTACCCCTTTTCATTCACCACTGTGATTTGGTTTGGTTTGGTTTGGTTCTGGATCCTTGTCTCAAAAATGCAGAGTTGCCCTAGAAAATTCCAGGGTTGTATTTGCAATGTTTTATAATATTTATATTATCTTTCGTAAATGTGGGGTTTTTGCCTGGCCAATTTCCTTATATGCTTCAGCTGTCCATGGGAGTGGTAAAGGGAAGTTGGTAACATACATGAACTGACAAGGCAAGACTGCAACAACAATTTACTCTTCATGTTGATTTCCATGACTGTTACTTTCCCTGTACAAAGAAACTGATCAGACAAGGGTCCACATATTGTGGGTCGAACAACCCCAGAACGTGATATGGATAGTCAGCGTGCCTTGATGCTGAAAAATAAGCAATGTGCATTCAGACAGCACTGCAACCTAACATGGCTGATTATAGCATACCATGTGACGTGAATCCGGTCAGTGACTAAATGGCCAGGACTTTTTAGAAACAGAGATAGTAGTTATTGAGTAGAAAAATGTGTTTCCTTGAGATGGAAAAGAAAGGCAGAAACCCTTGGCACAAACCAAGGTGTGTTTAATGCCCATTGAATTCTGTGCAAGAGTAAATTTGGACCTTTCTCTTCCCCCACATTGAAATCAACAGAAATTAAAATTGCTTAACCTGTGTCATTTGGCTTAAATGAATAGAAGATCACATAGCCTATATCATGTCATACTAATTAAATTAAGTTAAGTGAAAATAAAGCAAATGAAATTAATAAGATAATGAATACAATTGAACAGCAGTGGAAACACAGTTCGCAAAGAGGAGAATAAAGTATCAAAGGCAACAGCTCTAAAATTATAGCCATAAAGATAAAAGTTTTCAGACACAACTGGATGGTCGATAGAATGGAAATTTAAAGACCTGAGATAATAAAAAGGGTTTTATCGGGTGCCCAAAATGCAGATGGACCTTGTTGAAGTGGGTATTCCACTGGAAAAGCCCATACATGAGTAGTATGAAGGGATAGTCTGATGGCAATATCAGGGCACAAATGGGAATATATGGAAGAAGTGGTCTATCAGATCTTGTGGATCCAAACCATGAAGGGCTATGTAGTCTAAAATGAGCACCTAGGTTTAGCCCTGAAACCATAAATAAACTCAGATGAACAAGATGTGACTGTCACTTGGCTCCCAAGGACATTCTGCTGCTAGAACAGAATGGTAAATAGTTGGATCTTTGTATGATTCCAACAGGTAACTCTTATATTGATACACTCATACAAAAAGCATTGGACTGTATCATGAAGCGCGTGTGTGTATATATATACACATTCTGCATAGATGCAAAATATGTACATTAATAATTATGTAAGCAATAAGAAGAAAAAATGCTGATTTACCCTGGATATTTGGTTTATTTATCTGTTGCCTAACAGTTATTTCAGGAAATTAGGTATGATTTCATATTTATTTTGTAACTTGTACTTTGTTGTAGTTGTATATTTGAACCAGAAGGAAATGCATGCAGTCTAACAGACAGTACAGCTGAAGAACATGTCCTGGCTTTGGTGGAGCATGCAGCAGATGAAGCACGGGACCGGATCAATCGATGTCTCCCAAACAGCAAGGTCTTGCCCCTTGATTCAGGCTGCCATTTTATAGGCATTTTGTTTGGCTGATATGCTCAGGAACAGTGTTGTGGGTCAGTCTGTGTAAACATTATTGCATGGGGACTGATCTGTGGATGCCATGGGAATGTTTCTCATGTGTGGCTTTATGAATGTTAAATCTCCAGAGCAGAATGTCTGCATTAAAATTGTACATTATTCAAGCCCTAGTCTGAGCACAAGTAGAAATTAAGTGCTATGTAGGACATCCTCCTAGGTTTCTGTCTTGGGTGAGCATCTCTCTGAAAGTTTTGTAAGTTAGATAACTTCTGTGTTAAGATTGTTGATGGGGACTCTTCCAGGTTGGCAGTATTTGTCAAAATGGCAAGACCTGAAAACCTGAAGATAACAGTGAAATTTTGATGCCTGCTGATTGGATTAAAACGATTCTAGCATTTCAGAAAATTAAAATTTGTATGTTTAGAAATTTGGATATGTTGGGATCCTTTATGCAACCCTTTGAAAATAAAGAGGGAGATGATATTATGTTTTTCTTTCTATTTTAAATGTAGGATTTAGACTACCCATTTGCAATGCTAACATCTATCCTTAACTAATTGGAGCTAAGCCTATGCTTTTTATTACATTTTAAAATCAACCAATAGCTGATGTGGCATTAACTATATAGAATACAGATGTACAATTTGCAGCCTCCTAAGGCCTTAACTGTGTTTCCCTGCAGTGCTGGACTTTTCTTAGCCCATTCCCCAGTGATCCTCATATAGATCTATTCTTGCTGCTAGTGGTAGCAAAAGAGCATTCTCAGTCTATATCAAGATAATAGGTAGTGGTGGTATATATATGTGTGTGCACACATGTATGTGTGCATACGTATGTGACCCCTGACCCAGCATCACATGTGCTCCTCAAGACTGAAATCGCACATCCCTAATGTAGAGTAGGGGTAGGTAGAAAGTAGATCTCCACATGTGTTGGACTTCAGCTTTCTTTGGCCATGCTGGTAAGGGCTTCTGGGAACTGAAATTTAAAACATCTGGATATCTACTTTCTCCCCATTCCTCATGTAGAGGATTTCTAAAATGAGGGCATGGAATCAGTTTGCTTCTCCCTGCTGTTTCCTATTTGTTGTACTCAAGTCTGTATATAATTCTGCATAATTCAGTAGGAATACCTCTGTTCTTGCAACTCTTACCACCTGATTTTGAAGTGTACTAATGTGTAGATCAGAGATTGTACATAGCAGAACAGCACCTATAAGCCCATATTCCAATTACATGCATCCTCACATGGTTATCAGATGCCCAGGGTGAGGCAGCACAATCCAAGCACCATAGTCGTGTATAGGCTCTCCAGTTGAATAAAGCAGGGAATGAACACATTAAGGAAATAGTCTCTAGAGGTCACTAATCCCACAAAGAAAGCTTTGTAGATAAGATAGTGGGAAACATACTGTCAAAGAAACAATCCAGTCCTGTCTGGCCTACCATACACAGAAGCAGGAGGCAATCACAGGGGTGGCAGCATACCTGCTGTATAATCTCACCAGTGCAGGCAAAGCTGTTAGCATCTGATCTTTTAAAATCTGGGCAGATGATAATTGTTTATCAGCAAACAGTAATGTACATTGTGTGTGTGCTTGTATTTAAGTACAGATAGGCTACCTGAAAAAGAATGGTGATGGGTCCTTGGTCTTTAGTGTGCTCAATCCATCAGATCCAGAAGCAGAAGGTAATTTTCTAATAAGCTTTAGTAAATTCTATATATAGCTGTAGCTATGGTTTTATTGCTAAAAACAGAACAAATATTTAAGAATTTGCTCTAAGAAGGAAAAACGACAGCTTAATGTTATGCTTACACCTTAATTTGAAAAACCCAAATAGATAAGTCACAGTAATGTACTATGCCCAGAGAGCATCAGCTATTCAGCCGTATGTTTGGGAAATAGTTTGGCAACAAAACAATAAAATGTGTACCCTAATATCTGTCTGGCAGTGTATCTTAAGCTAAAATGGATGGCTAATACAACCATGCAGATTTACAGCTAATATTACAAATGCATTCATTATTAAGCTGCATTTATCAGTAAAAGTTAAGTCTAAAAAGTTTTGTTGTTGTTGTTGTCCAGATGACTGTGCCCCTCTGAACACTGCCTTGAATTACCATCCATTTTCCTTCTATTTATGCTACTAAGTCTTCAACAGTTTAGTTAAAGCATGGGTGGCCAAAATGTGATAGATAGATAGATAGATAGATAGATAGATAGATAGATATAGTATTTGTATGCCGTCCCATCGCATAGCCTCTGATCTGAAACAAGCCATAGGGTTTTAAGGCATGCCTAGTCTGAAGCAGAAGTGTCGTTCTGGCTCGCTGTGCATTGAATCAGGTCTGTACTCCTGTATTCTTTTCTCCCTTGGCTGCTGCTTGCTCCACAGTTGGGAAGGCTAGAGGCAATGTCACGAGGCACTATGGAATGGTTCTGCCTCATACCTCATAATGATTGATTTAAATGCTATATTTTTAAAGTGCACCCCCCTAAAACTTGTGAGTATTTGGAATCTAGTTTTCTACTCCAAATACATGTGAAATTAAAACAATTGTAAATAAATAATGATAATGATGACTCACATTCCATGCTTAGGAATTGAGTGCATTCCTGATTATTAATCTAAAGCAGGTTGTCAAATGTAACATACATATTTCAACTTTTTATAGAGGAGGAAACCCATCCAGTGGATCTGAGTTCTCTGTCAAGCAAATTGTTACCTGGTTTCACAGCAATGGGCTTTAAAGATGAAAGAAGGCACAAAGGTACATACAGACCAAGCAATTTGAGACAAACAAGGTTTATGTTAGGATTAAACATTTGTTTTTTATTAGAACTTCCATTCAATTGTAACCAAAGAAGTGGTGGTATCTTCATTGAACTTCTGATGCTATGAGAGTGTCATTATTTGACAGTAACAGGTGTATTCACAACGGTATGTTTGGACGCATAGAAATATGACCAGAACTAGGCTTTTGCCCATGTGTGCAGCCCTTTCCTTCATGTCATGAGCAAACAAAGTGGAAAGCTGCGAGTCAATCATTGTTTCCTATTTCATCCAAACCAGGAAACTGAGCTACAAACTTCGGAAAAATCCAAGATTTAAAAATCTTATTAAGCAGATGTATGATCATCTAAACCAAGACATTGTTATAGTTCTGTCTGTAGTGCTTGATCTGTAATAGTTTATTCACATATATGAGTTATCAAGTAGTCTACATGCATGTGTGAATAAACCCTTAGAAAAGCAGCTTTGTTTTATTTTACAGAACAACATTCCAAACAGTGTTCTTATATTTTCAGTTACATTTCTTTCAAGTGCCAATGCAGCACTTTCGATGCAAAACCATGCTATCTTTCATGATCTTAAAGCAGATGAAATGGAACTACTATATTCAGCATATGGAGATGAAACTGGGATTCAGTGTGCCTTAAGGTAAATATGTTACAGTACAGCATTGAGAAGCTGTAGACCACTATGCCAGTACAAATGTTCAAATTTGGGATCTACAGTAGTGAGCAATTCAAAAGGGAGCTAGAATAAGCAACATACAAAGGCTTGCATCTTCAAATCCTAAGTAATGGCTCTTTTGTAAAATGGAGAAAGGGCGAACAATGGAAGAAAGTTTTAAAAATGAAAATATTTTCTTTAGAATCCATTATCTGTTGCATTTCTGTATCACCAGTTAGTTCAAGATCTGCATTGAGAAAATGTACAAAATATGGGCATAGCTGATTGACTTAGTAAACTGCAATTTCTTCTAGTTTGCAGGAATTTGTGAAAGATTCTGGAAGTTATAGTAAAAAAATAGTGGATGACTTACTGGATCAGATCACTGGTGGAGATCATTCAAAAACTATTTATCAGCTAAAGCAAGTAGGTCCACATTATTAGTGTGTGCTCAAGAATTTGCTCCTTGTGGTGTTCTTGATAACAGCAATATTATTCTTGAAAATAAATGTTCACAACTGCACTGTAACAGAACTGACTAGCAACTACAGCTACCATCCCAAAGTCTTAATCTGAGATTGTGAATGCTGCTTTTGTATTAGAGCCTTTTCACCAAAGCTTTCATTGGCAGACTATCCCTTTATGGATCTAGGGTGGCTGGAGAGCTTTGTTATGAATTTGTGTTTTTACTATACAGAGTTTTAGTAGCCTGAATAAACAATCTCTCAAAATTTTGAAGACAAAATAACCCCTCTATAAATTGGGATTGAGAGATCCTATATTGTAATGAACCATCTCCATACAAAGCTAATCGTTTAGTTTTGAACTATACATGGGAATCCTTTTCCTTCACTTCTTTATTTTATTATAAAAACAGAGTATGAAAATATTACTAACAGGTAAATAATAAAAAAGAAAGAATCAGATTGGAGCACCAGTATCTTCTGCTCTTTTAAGTCCTGCTGGAATGAAATGTGGGGACAGTTTGTTCTAAAAAAGCAGGCAGGCACAAGTTTTGTTTTTAAGATGAGCTCTCCTTTATGTTCTCCCTATTCTCCCTTTAACCTTCTTCTGTCTATCCCTACCCCACAAAAAAGTTCAGTCTCCAAGCAGTTAGTCTTATTTTTCCACCTGAAAGATACGTTTTGTTAGTTTTGACTAGTCTTTAAATAGCTATATGGCCCTGTCATTTTCTGGCCATCTCTAGTTTTACAAGGATGACAAATGAAAAAGGAGAGACAGGGCAAATGGGCAAACAAAATTCATGGGTCAGCATGGAGTCTGTTTCACTTCAGTGTAATCCCACTTTCACTTGAGCTAATAAGGTTAGCTGTCCCTTATTAGCTGCATTTGATGGGGGATATATAAGGCTGATGCAATCAGGGCCCTTTGTATCTTCAATAGAAGAGAGATTTTTAGGAGCTGCAGCTTATAAAAGGTGTGAAACACTGCATCTGTGAGTTTCAATCAGTGCATTAATTAAATTGGCACATATATGCATGTATCTGCCAGAGGAAAAGGAGCATATTTTCTGGATCAAACTACTCCGAAGTCCCACTGATTTCCGTGGAACTTGTTCCCCTCAAAAAGTAGGGTATAAAAAATAAAACCCCCTAAAATAAGCATAAACCTAAGCAATAAACCTTTCTACAATTAATCTAATAATAAAAGCAAGTCTGTAAGACAAGTAATTCTCTTGTCTAATGTATAGAATTGTTAAGAACCAAAAAAGTCAGCAAAAATATTAATTATATTCAATTTTGTATTTTTCAGAGGAGAAACATTCCAGTAAAGCCACCAGATGAAGTCAAAGTAAGTTGTATTGCATTAAAAAAACCTCTCCTTGTTGTATAATAATTTGTCCTTATTGTAACCTGTGCTGAAAATATGACTAAAGGTGGTGTAAAATAGCTGTAAGGCTACAAACATGTTTAGTCAATAGGTTATGCAGTTTCTTATAGTACATTGATTTTGTTGGAGGCTTTGTGTACAAGTTTCTGTGTTGTTTCATCTTATGAATGTTGTCTTTTCCTTGACTTCCCTACTTACCAAAGGGAAAAGATTCCATATTGGACCCTGTAATACTATCCAGCATTTTCTGTTGTGACTTTGATGTGAAAATGAAGGTGTCATAGAGAAAGTGCACATGGGTTATAAATAGCTAACTTGTGCTGATGGCTTTAGGTACCACCAGTCCTCATAAAAGAAGAGCACAAATTGCGCAATACTTGCCCAGATGCCTCCAAGCAAAGTATGGTAAGATTTTATTAAGAAAGTTTAACTCAACACATCTTGATTTTCCTCTGAAGAAGGCTTATTATGTATTTATCATATTTATATCCCACCTTTTCTCCTTTCAAGGAACTCAGAGTAGCTTACATAATTCTCCTCCTCTAAAACTTGTCCTTGCCACAACAACCCTGTGAGATTTGGTTGAAAGTCTGTGACTGGCCCAAAGTCACCCAGCTAGGTCTGTGCCTGAGTGGGACTAGAATCCAGACCTCCTGAGTTCCAAGTGCAACACCCTTAACTACTATACCATATTGGTTCTCCAGTAGTCTTGAACTATTTCCAGGATATGTTTGGGTGTGAATCTTAAGGCCATTTTAAGCATAACCCAAAGCAATAAGTATACATGCAGAAAGAGAACAATAGAAAGCATTATTGCTGATGTTTGCATATTTGGCTGCCTAGTCAGAACTTATAAAGTTCATGCATTGCCCTAGCTGATGTTTGTATCTATCGGTAAAGTCATGTCTCTAGCAACCTTAAGGAAAGGATTCCAGTATTATTGATGCTGTGTAGTTTATCATTTTCTTCTTCTCTTTCTTCAGGTTGGAGAAGCCATTGGAGACAATACTAGTTCTGTTTTAGATTTTTTATCCATTAAGCCCTATTCAGATGTGTCACTTGATATATCCATGTTGAGTTCATTGAGTAGGTATTCTCATACAGATGTTTAAAGTATGATGCTGTACTGTTTTTCATAATCTAGTCCAGCAGTTCTCAAGTTTTTCTTTTTTTCCCACCACCTGAGAATTGCTGGCCTCAAGAACAATTCCAAATATACTTTTTTCCTACAGATCAAAGTACATAACTCAGATTTCAATAAAATTTGGCATCAGTTAGCAGCATATATTGGAAACTGCAGGCCCTAAACTAGGACCTTGTTAGCTTGTTCAGTAATACTGCTTGTTCAGTCCTGGCAAAAAATGCTACTGGGGAAAAATAAGTTTATCTAGTATAGTAATAAGAACTAATATTAGGATCATAGAAATCTGCTTTATCTCAGACTCAGTCAGTTCATCTGGCAGTAGCTCTCACAGATTACAGGCAGGAATTGTGACAGCCTTCCCTGGAGATGCTGAGAATTGAACCAGGAGTCTCCTGCATGCAAAGATGTATGCTACCACTGAAACATTTCCTCGGGCTTCAGCCACATTCTTTCCACAGATGAACTAGATGGTGCTCAGCAGACTGCAATTTAAGAATTTCTGCTCTCATCCATTTATTTTAGGCCCTCCTTAACATGACACTTTCCTATACATGAATGTAATATCAGATTTATTGAAGGTGCCTTCATATCTTCACAGTTAGGGTACTCAGTGAAAACATCAATCTGCGCAGCAGCTCTGAAAATGGCAACTGTCTTATGCCAATAATTAGGAAAAAGATTGAAAATAATGTGCCTTTACTGTAGTGCCTTTGTACAAATCTATTGTGCATCTGCAGTTTTGGTCATCCACTTTTAATAAAAAAGGGTACTGTAGAGGTGGAAAGTATGCAGAAAAGTCAACCAAAATTATCAGGGGCTGGAGTAACTTCCCCATGAGGAAAAGTTAAATTCTTGAGGATGTTCGGTCTTGGGAGGGAGGTTTTAAAACAGATCCATTTAGGGTGCACTTGTATACTCGCTTCCCTGGGAGTAAACCTTGTTTAACTCAACGGGATTTACATGCAAGTATTATTTTATCTATTAAACTACTAATGCAATAGAATTATCTAGGTGTACAAATAAAACATGGATAGGATTGAGCTGGGAATATGATAGAGATCAATTAAATGATGCATGGAGTGGAGAAAGGGGATAGAGAAGAGATTTCTTTTCAAATACAATACTAGCAATTTGTGATTATCCAGTTGAATTAATTGGCAGGAGAAACAAATGAAAATACTTCACACGGAGCACATCACTAATTTATGGAATTCAATGTTACAAGATATGGTGATGGTCACCAGCCTAGGTAGCATTATATGGTAATTAGACAGATTTATGTAGGATAAGTCTACCGATGCTAAATATATTTATGTAGAAATGCATTTAGAAATTAATGAAACTAACTTCCAAGTAAAAGGGTAGGATTTCAGTGCAGGTTTCTTCAGTGCAAGTAACGGTAAACAAACATTGATTGCACTGTTTAAAATGTTATTGAAAGGGATGATTGGGTTAAATTTACCTATTTGGCCTTGTTAAAGGGCTTTCTTCAGTGGTCTGGAACTACCTGCTGAGGGAGGGTAGGTTGCAGGGTGGATAAAAATCAATGATTTAAAAAATAAAATAAGATATTTAAAATTTAAATCAGATTGGTTTGATTTAAATTGGATTTTTTTAAAAAATAAAATGCTTTCTGGGGAAAAATCTGTCTAAAGATAGTAGTTTGATTAACATTCATTATAGTCCAAAAGTTATTCATCATGAAATAACAGTTTTATATAACATGAGGCTAAATATTCATACAATCTTTAAATTTGTTTGTAAATGGATTCCATTAATCTATTCACAATGGCATGCTCTTCCAGAGGCTTCTGTAAGATTATTGGGCAACTTTTCTATCTAGACAATATTATCACAGATGCTTGCTTTTGCAGTTCCCAAAACTATGAATTTGTGTCTACACGGATCACATGCCTCTTCTGCACAGTGACAATATTATAAAATAAATATACAGAGTTGAGAAAAAGACCTTAATCCCATTGTTTCTTTGGAAATCTATCTACACAGAATCAGCCCCTTAAGTACTAAGTTTCAAAAAGTTCAATGAATAGAAGATTGTTGGCAGTGGAATAGATCTGCACAAGAAGATAAGTGTGAGGAGGGAGGGGCAAGCAGTAAAAGTGAAACTCTCTAAGTCTTTGTATGTTTTTGTGCATAGCCTGAGGTTTATCATACCATTCTTTCCTGGAAAAGAAAACTATAATGGCAGCAGCCCGTAAAAGAGATCCAGTTTGGGAACATTTTAATGAAGTTCCTCTATCTACTGGTAAGGTGGGCATGTGTGCACATTATGTAGAAAACCATGATTTAAACCTAGTCTTACAGACTAGTGTTTTAAATAGTGTTTCTATTAAGGCAGGCCTTTGGCATGTATGCTGGTCTGCTAGTGAAAAGGCTTTTAATCTGGTTGGGTGCCATCTATATCTTGAGGAGGAGGAAGAGCAACCAGCACCTTCTCCTAGGGGTTTGTTTGCCTGCCTGCCTGCCTGCCTGCCTTTAAGGGCTCTCAGGTCTGAGGCAGTAATGTCCAGATAGGTCTGAATCCTCATTGTGTATGATTTAAACTCTGCTGGAATAAATGAGGATGTTAGGGAAAAGAATACACCAGGTTCTCTTCTCTCACTTGCTCATTTAGATCTCTATCAAGTTGGCTTGTAAGGACCAAACAAGGGGTGTTTTAGATTAGTGGCTGTTCTTTTTCATGATCATATATATTTTAAATCTATTGTGGGCAGAGACTGGGACAATGGCACATGGAACAGAATAAACTTTTCATTCTTCCAGACCATTTTGTGTGCATTGCCAACAATCCTGCTACAAATTGTCACATGAGAGAAAATGCATGGGTCCATACACATTTTATCATAGCTGAAACTGGGGAAATAAAATCTTCCTTAGAGCCTTGATATGGATGCCACCTACCACCCCTACCCCTGCATCAGTTTTTAATTAAAGAAATATTCAACAAATATAAATATGTTAATCAGTCACAAATTTCCAGTGTAGTCATTTGGCGATGGGGGATGGTATAATTACAGAATTTTATTTATAATGAAACATTGTAGTTTCTTTGAGTGATGGAACATAAATAATTGCTGAAATTCATTGCTGAAATTATTTTCCTAACAATTAGATCCCCTCTTAAAATGTATTCAGTGCATATTCTCTTCTGCTTTACCCTAAAACAAGATTGATACAGGAAATTTTAAAAAACCTTCCGTTGTTGACTTTTTAACCATTCATCCTCAAACCCAGTTTACATTGAATGATCTATTATTGTTCTCAGGTAAAGTTAAGAAGGAACTTGATCATGATGACAATCACTTACACTTGGATGAAACTACCAAATTACTACAGGACCTTCATGAAGCACAGACTGACAGAGTAGGATCCAGGCCTTCTTCCAACCTCAGCTCCCTCTCTAATGCTTCTGAAAGGGATCAGCATCATCTAGGTAAGTCTGGTTGAACTTCTCAGTTCACTTAAAATTAATTTAAAAACTTAAAACATTGCACTCTTGAAAATATATTTCCAAACCACATAACCTTTCAAATTTACTTTTTTTCCCTTCTTATTTTCTCCAGGAAGCCCATCTCACCTAAGTGTAGGAGAACAACAAGACATGGTCCATGACCCCTATGAATTTCTTCAATCTCCAGAACCTACAAATGCCAATAACTAACTTCATATATACAGTATTTAATTTGTCTTCCTTAATCTGCGTAACATTTTTGCATAATTCCATCAAATAATATGCATTTCAATTTGTCCTCTCTTTTTTATGATTGCTGTGTAATAATGCTTGTGCATATATTTGTAAATTTGGCATGAATATAATGTATCATGGTACATGCCCCATTTCATGCAGTATTTTAGGGATACATAGAATAGATCTGAAGAAGTAGTTGCAAATTACGTATTTAAGAAGCCTAATTTATATTTTTTTAAAGCTAACCAGCTGTTTATCATGCTGTTAATCATTAAAACTTTTATACTTTATGTACAACTATTGCCATGTAACAGTCTTCTACAAGGAGTATTTTTCACTGGTAATATAGCTTTCAGAACTATGGCTGTCTTTATGTTGTCCCTTTTCTTCCCCCAGTTGTAAAGCGAAAAGTTACTGACACTCTAGATCCTCTTAATTTTGGATGGACAAGAATCTGTAATATTGAGTACTTCCTCAGATTGTCCAGTTCTTAAAAATGTTTTGTGAATACAAGTGAAATTGTACCTGCAGAAAGGGTAAATATTTTGTTGTTTTTAAATTAAGTATTTGAAATTTGACATTGAATGATTTTTTAAAACAATATTATGTATAAACTAGAATAATTAGTTGTTCATTAACAATATTGTAAATATTAAAAAAAACTCTCCAAAATGTACTTGTATTCAGGTGTTTCCAGTATATAATTTGTTTGCCACTTCTTCATTAGATTGAAAATTGATATTCTATATCTAAATCTGCTAAAATTTAGAATTAAAAAATACTTTAGAGCACTTGTCATGCAGTTCTAATACATAAAACAAAATTGTTGGCTATTCTAAACTGTATTATGCTTATGGTTATGTAGTCTGTATCACTGGCTAAGCTGATGCTGTCACATTTTTTTTTCTAAGCATTGCCAAATATAAAGAAGGAACACAAACAGACGTTTGCTGCACAAACGGTGAAAAGGGACAGTGTACATTTGGCTAAGATTAATAACCTCTGTGGGGAAATTATTTCTGGGGCAGGCCAAGGAAAAGAAGAGGCCTCTAAAGGTGGGAAAACTTCAGAGCAAACAGAGGCAGAGCAGCCAAAAAAGGCAAACCAGGCATTGACATTGAAGGTAAGGGTAGCTACAAGGGGCGTTCAATGTATTCTCGGTATCAGCATAAAGAAAAAGGAATAAATGAAATAATTTTTATTTTTCAATATAATCCCCCATAACTTCAATACACTTACTGCATCTAGAAATTAACTTTTCAATTCCCTGTAAAAAATACCCTTCCTCCCTGTCTAAAAAATGTGCGTTAATTGCCGACTTGAACTCTCATCATCGGAAAATCACTTTCCATGAAGATCTTTTTTTAAATTCCAGAATAGGTAGTAGTCACTGTGGGCCAGGACCAGGCTATAGGGTGTGTGGTTTATTTCTTCGAAACCACAGTCTTGCACAGCAGCCTTTGAAACACGTGCCGTGTGAATGGGCACGTTGTCGTGAAGAAGCAACATACCTGTGGTCAGTTTTCCCCACCTTTTTTCTTTAATTGCTTCTCTTAAATTACACAGAGTGGTTGCGTAAGATGCTGCGTTTATGGTTTCACCTTTTTTCGTGTACTCGATCAATAAAATTCCCTTTGAGTCCCAAAATACTGTGGCCATGATTTTTCCGGCCAACAGAGTGACTTTGAATTTCTTCGGAGGGTCACCACCGTTTTTATGCCACTGCATGGATTCCTGCTTGCTTTCAGGGTCATAGTGATGAACCCAAGTTTCATCTCCAGTAACAATCCGGTCGAAAATATTCGATGGATCTTCACCACAGAGCTCTAAAAACTCCCTACAGCACTCGACTCACACTTGTTTCTGAGGCGCCATGAGCATTCGCGGCACCCATCTTGCACAGACCTTTGAAAGGTTAAGATGGTCATGAAAAATAGTAAATATGGTACCAGTGGATAGGTTTGTCATCTCTGCTAACATTTTGATTTTTTTTTTCGGGCATCTTCCAATACAAGTTTCTCAATTTTTTTCACATTTTCTTTCATAGTGGCAGTAACTGGCCCGCCTGAGCGAGGGTTGTCTTCAGTGCTTTCTCTGCCCCTTTTAAATTCACTTGACCACTTTTGAACAGTGGTGCAGTGTCCTGGTAAATGGCCACCATCTCTTCATGAATGATTTTTTGACTTTTTCCTTGTTTTGTAAGGAACTTAATCACAGCGTGGTGCTCGATTTTCTTCAACATTGTCGCATCAGTCATCATGGTCGTCTTTCACTGAGGATTACTAGGGAACTAATGATCACACTTATTTGAAATTTTGCATGTATACCCTCAGGTAGTGTCATTAACTAATGAAATAATTAAATTACCCACATCAATAGCAAATCAACCCGATACCAAGAATACATTGAATGCCCCTTGTATATGAAGCAAAGATCTGCAGAAAAGTATAGTGCTCAGGAAACATACTGTAAAAAAAGAAGACAGTGCCAAGATAAATTTGATCAATACATGTTGTGGAAGAACCACTTAGTATAAGTATCCCCCTTTGAAAGTGGAATTTATTTCTGAATAAATAAATAAATTTTGTTTGCTTGTTGCAGTTGAAAGGGAAGAAGGAGAGAATAGGGTAACTGTGTGTGTTAAGGTCCTTGGAGAAGTCATCTCAATGAAACAAAGCATTCTAGAAGTCAATGTAGGACAGGCATGCCTCTGCTGAAATCACTTATAATTAAAATGTCAGGTAGCCTAACTTTCTGATCTCCAGATATTGGGATGTTTGTGCCTCCAGCTTTCCCAATCATATTTTGTTGTTACCAAAAGTCATCAATAGTTAGTAGTAAAATAAAAAGGAATTGTTTTGAAGATAAAATCCTACAAACACCTTGAGTTTATTTGAGAAAAGGCAGAATAAGTGTATGAGAAATAAAGAATAGAAATTCAAGCCTTTTTGTTTTGTTTTCTGTTCTCAGGATCTAATTAAATAGTATGATCTTTATCATAGGTGAACAAAAGCAGGTATCAAAATTCAATGCAGGCACTAATTGAATACTTGCTCAGGAGATATGATTGAAACACACTGCGATTTCTCAGGTTACTAAACCTAAGCATTTAACATTTTTCGGGTTACTTAAAGCTAAGCATTTAGATGCTTCTGAGCATGCTTGTCGTCTTTCTTGCTAGGATAGGACCCAAGCCTTGCTTTGTAAACAGAAGGCCCCTGTTTCAGTTCCTGGAATCTCCAGCTGAGAGAGCCTGGAAGAACTGTGCTTGAAACCAATGTGCCACTCATTTAGAGCTGGTAGTGCTGGGCTAAATGGAGCCTTGGCAGCTTTACCTCCTAGTGCTTAGTTTCATAACATCTTAGAATAGTAGAGTAGGAAGGGGCCATGAAAGCCATTAGGTCCAACCCCCTGCTGTCACAGGACACCAGATTACATTGACGACTGATGAGTTTCAGAGTTTGCACACAATACTCGTGTTACTCAATGTGATCATGGGAAACATTAACATGAATTATGTTGTACATGTAGCAAGTTCTCAGCCATTTCTGCTACTGCTATACTAGGAAGTATACAAACACAATCATGAAAACGACTGCCAGCTTGTGTACAACCTGATATGTGCTAACTCTATTTTCATGAGGAAACATGCTTCCATAGGAATTGAAATAAGCCTTGAACATGCAGTTCCTGATGCAAAATATTTGGACACTATTAGTCAGAAATGGATTGCAAAAGTTTGAATGTATGTGAATTTGTGGAGACACTCTAACACTTTAATATTAGTTTATGAAAACCTGGAAAAGAAGAACAAGACTGGTATTTTATGTAAAGACTCTAGTTTTACGCCTTACCTTTGCAACATGATGTCATTCTTTGAATTCAAAGTCAGTGTGTGTTCTCAGTGCATTCTGTCGGGCAATATGCTCTCCTCCAATGGCTTTATGGTTTTGCCTTACCATTCGATATCTCAGGGACGTGTAGTAGAGACCTGCTGGAAAACTGAGTGCAGTCACAGTGGAAAGAGCAAGTATTCTACAGACTACAGCAAAAGAACAAAATAAACAATATAGCAAGAGTAAAACCAAGTGCTGACCATAGACCTTATTTTTGGCTTGGGAAGCTTAGTGAAAAAATTCCTTGTCTGTGGATTTCTAAAGAAGGAACTTCCCCTAAACAAAAAGTAGGCAAGGAAATCTTTAAATTGGTAGGGCTGAGAATTCATGTGGACTGGAGGTACTGTTCGGGAAGAAAGAATTTAGTATGGGTTAAATTTACAGTTACTTTTATCTAGATAATTTTTATTAGTAAGCTGATGGGCTGGAAGCAGATTTAGTTATGTGTAGATGAGTTTTCAGAAGCAGATCTTCTTGCATATCTTCGCTATGGCAACCCCTGCAGGCCTATTTTGCTCAAGAAGGTCAGGGCACCCTCTGCAATGAGCTGAGGTGAGGTGCAGAGAAGAGGGAGATTCCCCCTCCCCACAAAAAAAGAAAAAGAAGCACATGTACCTTGCATCCTGTAAAGTAGATCCTGGACCAGTCTTGATATTTATCATAACTGAATTTTGAAAGCTCCTGGTGTTGTTTATTTGTACATAGTAAAAACCCACTTGAAGACACAGTGGGAAAGCAAGTGTCCCAGCCGGTGTGTTCCTGCCTTTGTAAACAGTGGTGTTCCTAATCATGAGAAAAACCAATGTGGTTGCATTGGCCACCACACAACTGAAGTTCTTCAAGTGAGCTGTTGTCAGTTGGATGCTGGAGTAACTGCCTTTTATAAGCCCCAACATTCCAAAGAGAGGCCAAAGCAGCAGCCCCAGCCAGATCAGATGGAGGTCATCCAGTCGCAGGTTGCCTTGACACCCGATCCAAACAATTTTGGGAGCCCTTGGTCAGGACGGGAAAGATTGGCCTCATGGTATGATATGAGATATGGTGTTAGAAGTACAATTGAGGAGGTTCCTTATTTAGGGATGATGATTTGGTTTATCATGTTTGTATCTTCCCCCTATGCACACACACTCTCACACTTGTACACACACTTGTGCGTGCACACACACAGTTAAAATTTGGGAACAGAGTCAGGGGACTAATTAACACTAATAACACCTGGCATTCTTGAGGGCAATATCTGTTTCTGCATCTAATTTTATTGAAATAAATTGCTTTGCTTGAAAAGTGAGTTTCAAACATTCTAAAATGAAAACATTAATTTAACAGGAATAATGCTCTACATAACATTTGAGTGCTCAAAGTGCTTCTTTATGTTAATAGTTCACACATTTAGCCATTTCACTATGCCATCCTCAAATAAGCTCAAAGAATTGCTCTCCATTCTGTGTGTGCATGTCATGCGTCTACCTACCTTTTGATTTTTATTCGCCCTCTGTGGCAGGATAAACAAAGAGATACTGACTTGCCCAAGAACATCAAATGAATGTTGTGACTGAATAGGGCTTCAAAGGCAGATGGATTTAGTTCATGCCTCTCTGCTGCCCAAACTGCTATAGAAATGTTAAAGGGAATGTTAAAGGGGACTCTGGATTCCCCAGAAAACACAGAACCAAAATTGCACCTACTGTAAGTTGCATGTGTCACCACTCTGCCCTAAGAGGACCTTATCCCTTCAACTTCGCCTGCAACTTTAGACTTCAAGTTCTATTTAAGAATAATAATATGTCAAGCCTTCCCTGGTTAACAAAGTTAGAAAAGGTCTTCTCAGTGGCCATCTCTCAACTTGGATGATCTTACCACTGATTCTTGCCTGGTGCCAACTTTGTCATACTTTTGGTGCCAGATTAAGACAGCTCTCTTTGTTGAGGCATTTAAAGATGTCTAAAATCGTCTAACAGCTTGATGGTGGTACCCATATTATTTTAGTAGGTCTGTTCTGTATTGCATTCTGTTTCAGCTGTTAATTGGTTAAAATATGTTTAACTCTTTTAAATGTATGTTATGGAGAACTGCATGGTATTTTATTGTATCATGATCCTGTTTAGGAACTGTTGTAAACCACCCAGAAAGCTTCAGCCTTTAGGTAGTACAGAAATTAAATAAGACCTTGGAGGCTGTCTGGTTCAATCCAGGCTCAATACCCACCATCCTCATGCTTAAATACCTCCAGTGAAGGAGAGTACACCAGTCTAGGCCACTGTTGAACAACTCTTACCATTAGGAAGGTTTTCCTGTGTATGGCCTAAATTACCTTCTCTGCATTTCCTGCCCTCTAGAGCAACAAAGGATAATTCTGCTTCATTTTTTGATATTTGAATACTGTTACCCTGTTTCCCTTTAATGTTTTTCACACTAAACATATCCAGTTCTTTCAACAGTTTATCCTACAACTTGGTTTCCAGACCCATCACCCTCCTGATCAACATCTTTTAGACACAATGCAGTTTGTCAGCGCTGTTCTTAAAATGTATTGCCCAGAACTGCACACAATACTTTACCAGATGCCTCCTGACCAACTCAGAATAGAGCAGAACTATTTTCCTATGACCTGGCCACTAGGCTTGTCAATCAAGCCCAAAACTACATTAGCTTTATCAGCAGCGCATCATACTGCTGTCTCATACTCATTTTATGATCACCTAAGAATGCAATCCTATGACGTCCTACAACTTCCAGCAGTCTTCACCTGGTGTGGATGGCTGGAGTATTATGGGAGTTGTAGTTGCATGTACAATCTAAGCATGTATAGGTTTGTGCCCTAAGTATCTTGAGACATAAACCTGTGTGTGTTTGGATAGCAAAAAAGGCCTACAATTCCCAGCATGGCTGGCTGGGGAATTCTGGGAGCTATTTTTATTTATTTATTTATTTATTTGGAGTTTTTGTATGCCATCCCATTCGTGTGAGCCTCGGGACGGCTTCCAATACAATAAATAAACAGAGCATATAAATAGTACACATAAAATCCAGATTCACCCTGGCTGTAGAATTAAAACCAATAAATAATATTAACAGTTGTTAAAATATTGTTTAAATAAAAAGGTCTTGGCCTGGCGCCGAAAAACAAATAATGACTGCGCTAGGCGGACCTCTCTGGAGAGTGCATTCCATAGGTGGGGCGCCACTGCAGAGAAAGCTATAGTACTATTTTCTGTCTAAAGCTATAGGACTATTTTCTGTATACCATTGTATCTTTATAGCTTTTCACATGTACTGGGGCCAAGCCAACCTCCTTATCCTATATGTGTTTCTGTGTAACTTCTTAACTTGCCTGTCATACAAGACTGCAAACCTTTGGATACTTACCAGATGGGAGCTGTATATGCTTAATATCAGACAGGAAATCATTAGGGATGTGTATTAGACTGATCAGGAAAAAATGGAAAAGATCCTCATTTCTATTTAATATGGATTTAATAAATATGGTATAAATGCAATTGAAGAAACTCACTGTATATTTCAATTGTATTTGTTCACATTTCTCTTTTGTATTTATTTTCATTCAGAATTATTTTCCTGAATTGCTTACATTGCCTCGCTTTTGGAAAAAGTTGAAATAATGTGTTGGAAATTCAGATGGTGACAGGAAATATGCATCAGGAATGCATTTGTCTCATTTCTAGCCAAACATTTCCAATCATCTGACTGGTATTTTTCTACACCAATGCACCATATAACTTTTTGCCTTGCCCTTAGAAGACCTGCTAGATGAAGAGGCCTCCCATGGAATTTAGCAGGATTTGTTATCCTATTTGGCCATAGGATTGGCGTTTGTCAGGCCTCATGTCCAGAGGTCTACTGGAATTCCTGAAATTTTCTACCACCTTTAGCAAACAATAGCATAAATTCACAGGGATGGTTGTTATTACTCTAGGAAATTCAGAATATTATTCCTGAAAATCTAGGGACAAAATTGTAAACTTGTTAAAAGTCTTAAAGGTGCAATCCTATCTATGTTTAGATAAAAATGGCCTACAACTCCCAGCACTGCCATTTTTGGGGAATGCTGATAGTTGTGGGCATATTTTTGTCTAAATATGCATAAGGTTGGGCTTTCAAGGGACCATGATAGTTCTTCTCATGTCGACTTGTATTGCCAGTTGATGAGAAAAATACAGACTAGTTTGTTCCTGTGCAGTGGTGTTCAAAAAACAACCAGTAAAACTTCACAGCATTATCATCTCATAACATCCCCACATCAAACTATTGTTAAAGAAATAGCAGGCAGCCTCAGGAATCACTGGTTTTCTCTTGGGAATTTAGTTCTAGAAACATTGCACAATGGAATACATTTATGTTTCTTTATGCTACCTTATGTTTACCTACTTTCAATATTTTCAGAGACGCACAAAGAACATGAGCAATCAACAGTCAAACTGTGATAAGACATGTGTATTTTCTGGCATTTTCCTTAAACAATTCACCTATGTTGATGCTTGGCTTTTGGATATTTGGAACTTTACCTTTTGTGCTTTTTTCTTTTGATAATTGTATATAACATGGAATGAGTGGTTTTTATCACACAAAAGCTTATGAAGTGAAAGTGTTGTAGATAGATGACAGAAAAGCTGTGGGCTTCCTTTAGGACCCAGGAGAAGCACTTTGAAAAGAAGTGGAGTAGGAAGGAACTGTCTCCATAGCTGCTGAGGGAGTTGCTCTGTTAAAAAGAAACTAATCAATCTTCGCTAAAAGTTGGTAAAAGCTATGTTGACAGAGATAAACTTGTGTCTCTGGTACTGATTCTTAGATGAAAAAATGTCCTGCGAGATAGTGGTGTTTGTCAAACTCACAGCGAGAACAATCCTGCCAGATTACTTGACCTCAAACATCTTTCTCTCTGCTCCATAAACTGGGGTGGGGTGAAGGAGTGGGCTGAACAGAAGAATATGTTGAGCACTGCAAAGGTGAGCAAGAAGTGAGAGATACTCTTGAACTTCTAACTGAAACTCTATAGGTGTGACACTGTGTAATCCAGATTTTCAGAGAGATGTGGATGAAATAGTATTGTAGCAGTTAGGTGGGACCAAAGCCTGTTTCTTTTAAAAATAAGGATTATGTTTCATTCTAACAGTTCTTTTCAGCAAACTAGATGGGTGTGTTCTGCCTGACTGTTGTTTTGGTATTGCATTGTGTGGGACTAAAGTCTTACTGATTTCAGTGGGTCTTCTTTAATTATGATTAACTCTGGATCCAGCCCCACATCTATATGCAGATTATATGCATCCACAAAGAGAGAGTGCTTCTCAGGATGCTATAAAATTGTTTTATTCTTAATCTTTCTGGAGTCTAGAGAGGTTATTTCCTTGTGGATTCCTAGAGCTTTCCAGTTCGTTCTTAGTCACTGCAGATTTTATATAAGACAGGTTTTGTTCTTCACCCCACTTCTCCATTCTCCACTGCTTTATATGACATCCAACCTGACGAGTTATAGGGAACTCATGAATTTGCATGCTATTTTGTGACCTTTTGGTTAGTCATAATAAAGGCATTTGCCCAACTGTGAATAATAGGGTTTAGCTACTCCCAGCTGTTCTAAAACTTGAAGGACCCACCCATAGATGCTGATTTAAACAAATGGATCTTTCACCATAGTATCTAGTTTGGCACATACATTGCACAGTCTGTTAGTAAGAAAACTCCAGTGTGTGATTAGCACTCTTACCCACATAAGTTTGCTTCTTTAAAAGAACAGTCCTTTGATCCCTAGATATTGTCCTGGGGACGGGGTGAGTGGGAATAGGACAGTTCATACTCTTGCTGTAGGTAAGTTTTTATTATTATTATTTTGCTCCATCTGAAAGATGTCAAATGCCAATAATGAATGTCAAAGGAATAATGAACTTAGCTCACAAAAAGGTGGCGCTGGCTTGCTCATCCCTTTGCAGCAAGATCCTCAAGCTGTTTCAGGGGGTGGGGTGAGGGTTGTGTGTCCAAATAGTCCTGTCACTTTTGCATTTATTTCCAAGATTTTTTCACTCCAGACATACAGAAAAATGTGAGCCATTCCGTTTACTGAAGTTGTTACCTTTGACACCTGGAAAATGTAAAGCTCCATTTTGAAAGTGGCATTTAGAAATCTTTAAAAAGGAAAGTAGGCAAGTACATTGGTGTATAGTCTATTTAGCTCCCCTGCCTCCCCTCCCATGTATTGCCCACTTGAGGCTCTCCAGTTGCTCACGTGGGTAAAATAAGGTATAGATTTTTCAAGTATTTACAAACATTAGGGGAGATTTTCTTTAAAAATGTTTGGCAACCACAGGTAGCTCATCTAAGGTATTTTAAAGGGCATTTTAAAGGGACTGCCTGTAGCTGCTAAAATGGAGTTCACAACAGCTAGCTTTCACAGTCTCAAGGAAAAAGATAAGTGGAAAAAATTCACAGTGAGCCCAAAAGAGCTCGTAGCAAGATGGGGGAAAGTCAGTGCCAGCTGCCCCTGAATATCACTTGTGCCCTTCTGGGGTAGCTGGCATGGGCAGATGCCTGACTACCTTTGGCAAGAGCAGCAAGGAACTTTGTTGCTTTTGCCAGTGAGTCACTGGTCAGTTCCCTGTATCCAAAATGGAGTTATTTGCCAAGGCTTGGTAGTACCAATAAGCTACAAATCCCTAGCATGATCCATGGGTTGACAGGGTTGCTTGCTGCCTCCAAAGAAGCCACCTTAAAGAAGGTAGTTTAGAGTTGCACAAGATGACTACCCATAATGTCATATGAATTCATTCATTGCCTTGTTGCATATAAACCTGAGCAAAATTTATGAAGATTACCTTGCGTGGAAATTTCTGGGTGGAAATTTACCATATAACATTTTTCATGCACAGTTGCAAAGGATCAGTTCAGGAAGATGTAATCAACTCTGGCTTGAGCCTATGGGTGACTTGACACATCACAAGTGGACTGGGTTGCTTGTTAAACAAGCTATGGTGTGCCTGATGGTTGGGCTGTTGTGGGTTGTCTCTTGCTCCCTCTTTTTTCAAAGTCCTCCAGCTGGTATCCCAGGGGATGTCATGTCTAAAACCACCTTGTCTGCTCTCCCTGCTACAATCATGAGCTGTATGGCATGTTTTCCATTTTTTCAATTGCCAAGTCGATTGCACCTCTGAAATTCTAAGGTGGTATATTGGATTGTCACTGCTTTTAAAAGAAGTGCCCCAAATGGTCATAAATGTTACTACTTTTGTTTAAATTTGTAGTCAGAATTGTGCACTTCTGGAGGTCCAAACTGGGCAACCTCACCTGGATCTTATGTGGGGAAGTCATAAGAGTATTATGACTCTTTAATAGAGTCAGCCTCTAAAACTGTCTAGTTGCAACACTGTTTGCAATTGGGCTGTGCAAAGCATTAGGAAGAGCAGTCATTTCCTCATTCTGTGGTTTTGTTCTTCCCATACTATGAAGAGAAAGACAGAGCTACAGATCATCTTAGTTAACCATGTCCTGTTTTGCTTGGAAGGGTGTAGTGAGCCAGGGCTCACAGCTTCAGCACCATCACTTTTTATTATGAGGGTTGCTAATGTATCTGCCACTTCCCTTGTTCTAAGTCACAAAGTCATGTCCGACCCATCGCAACCCCATGGACAACATTCCTCCAGGCCTTCCTGTCCTCCACCATCCCCCAGAGTCCACTTAAGCTCATGCCAACTGCTTCAGTGACTCCATCTAGCCACCTCATTCTCTGCCGTCCCCTTCTTCTTTTGCCATCTATTGTTCCCAGCAGTAGGCTCTTCTCCAGGGAGTCCTTCCTTCTCATTAGGTGGCCAAAGTATTTCAGTTTCATCTTCAGTATCTGGCCCTCGAAGGGGCAGTCAGGGTTGATCTCCTCTTGGACTGACCGGTTTGATCGCCTTGCAGTCCAAGGGACTCACAGGAGTCTCCTCCAGCACCACAATTCAAAGGCCTCAGTTCTTTGGTGCTCAGCCTTCCTTATGGTCCAATTTTCACAGCCATACATTGCAAATGGGAACACTATAGTCTTGACTATATGCACTTTTGTTGGCAGGGTGATGTCTCTGCTTTTTAATATTCTGTCTAGATTTGCCATAGCTTTCCTCCCCAGGAGCAAATGTCTTTTAATTTCTTGGCTGCAGTCCCCGTCTGCGGTAATCTTGGAGCCCAGGAAAATAAAATCTGTCACTACCTCCATTTCTTCCCCCATCTATTTGCCAGGAAGTGAGGGGAACAGATGCCATGGTCTTAGTTTTCTTAATGTTGAGTTTCAAGCCAACTTTTGCACTCTCCTCCTTCACCCGCATCAAGAGGCTCTTTAGTTCCTCTTCACTTTCTACCATTAGAGTGGTATCATCTGCATATCTGAGGTTGGTGATATTTCTCCCAGCAATCTTAATTCCAACTTGTGATTCATCTAGCCCTGCCTTTCTCATGATGTGCTCTGCATATAAGTTAAATAGCCAGGCCGACGGTATACAGCCTTGCCGAACTCCTTTCTCAATTTTAAACCAATCAGTGGTTCCATGTCCAGTTCTCACTGTTGCTTCTTGACCCGCACATAGGTTTCCCAAGAGACAAATAGGATGGTCTGTTGCTCCCATTGCTTTAAGAACTTGCCACAATTTGTTGTGATCCACACAATCAAAGGCTTTAGCATAGTCAATGAAGCAGAAGTAGATGTTTTTCTGGAACTCCCTAGCTTTCTCCATGATCCAGTGTATGTTGGCAATCTGATATCTAGTTCCTCTCCCTCTTCAAAATCCTGCCTGTACTTCTGGTAGTTCTTGGTCCACATAATGCTGGAGCCTAGCTTGTAGGATTTGGAGCATAACTTTGCTAGCATGTGAAATGAGTGCAATGGTGCGGTAGTTTGAACATTCTTTGGCATTGGCCTTCTTTGGAATTGGAATGTAAACTGACCTTTTCCAATCATGTGTCCACTGTTTTCCAAGTTTGCTGGCATATTGAGTGTAGCACTTTTACTGCATCATCTTTTAAGATTTTGAATAGCTCAGCTGGAATCCTGTCACCTCCACTATCTTTGTGGTTGCACAGACTTCCTAAGGCCCATTTGACTTCACATTCCAGGATGTCTGGCTTGAGGTCAGTGACCACCCCATCGTGGTTATCAGGGACGTTAAGCTCTTTCTTGTATAGTTCCTCTGTGTAATCTTGCCACCTCTTCTTAATCTCTTCTGCCTCTGTTAGGTCCCTGCCATTTTGGTCCTTTATCATGCCCATCTTTGCATGAAACATTCCCTTCATATCTCCAATTTTCTTGAAGAGATCTCTGGTCCTCCCTAATCTACTGTTTTCTTCTGTTTCTTTGCACTGTTCATTTAAGAAGGCATTCTTATCTCTTCTAGCTATTCTCTGGAAGTCTGCATTCAGTTGGGTGTTTCTTTCTCTTTCTCTCTTGCCTTTCGCTTCCCTTCTTTCCTCAGCTATTCGTAAAACTTCCTCAGACAGCCATTTTGGTTTCTTGCATTTCTTTTTCGTTGGGATGGTTTTAGTTGCTACCTCTTGTACAGTGTTGCAAACCTCCATCCATAGTTCTTCAGGCACTCTATCAGATCTAATTCCTTAAATTTATTTAAGCTTGGGAGTGCTTCTCAACCCAGAGCTTTCACTGGAAGCTCAGGTGACAGCGGTGGTGAGGAGTGCTTTCTTTCAGCTTCCCCTACCTGGAGAACGACTGCCTGGCGACAGTGACACACACATTGGTGACTTCCCAACTTGACTTCTGTAGTGCGCTCTATGTGGGGCTGCCCTTGAAGATGGTCCAGATACTTCAGCTGGTTCAAAATAGAACTGCCAGGCTGCTCACAGGGACTGGGTGTTATGTTCACATGACTCCAGTCCTCCCTCAGCTTCACTGGCTCCTCATTGAAGTTCGGGCCCAATTCAAGGTGTTGGTTATGACCTTTAAAGCCCTTAACGGCTTGGGTCCTGGTTACCT